TTGCAGGGGGGGGGTCTGCTCTGCAGGGGGGGTCCGCTCGGCAGAGGGAGGGGCTGCAGGGGAGAGGGGGGGACCGCTCTGCAGGGGGGGGGCCTTGCAGGGAGGGGTGGTCTGCTCTGCAGGGGGGGGGGGTGGCCAGGGGAGGGGGGGGGGCTCCGCTCTGGCAGGGGCGGGGTTGCGCGGGGGGGGGGGGTCCGCTCTGCAGGGGGGGGGGGGGGGGGGGGGGGGGGGGGGGGGGCTTGGGCTTTCAGGGGGGGGGGGGTGTCCCTCTGCAGGAGGGGGGGGGGGTCGCTCTGCAGGGGAGGAGGTGCAGGAAGGGGGGGTCTGCTCTGCAGGGGGAAAGGGTACCGGGGGGGATTGGGGGGGTCTGCTCTGCAGGGTGTGTGTGGGGGGGGCTGCAGGTGAGGTTCGCTCGGCACGGGGAGGTCTTGCTCAGCTCCGAGGGGGGTGGGGGGGGGGGGGGGGGGAGGCTGCAAGGGGGGGGGCGGTCCGCTCTGAGGGGTGGGGGGGGGCGGGGCTGCAGGGAGGGGGGTCCCCGCTCTGGCAGGGGCGAGGGGGGCGGGCGTCTGAGCTGCAGGAGGGGAGGTGCGAGGTGGGGGCGCCTCTGCAGCGAGGAAAGAGGGGGGGGGGGGTCCGCTCTGGATCGGTTGGGGGGGGTGGGGAGAAGCACTGAATATGGTCGGAATAAGGTCGAAGCACTGAATTAGGTCGGAAATAGGTCGGAAATGAGGTCCCCCCCCCTCGGCAGAGCGAAGCTTGAGCGAGCTCAAGCCCACGCTCTCAGAAACTCTCACGCCGGATCGGCGGATTTTTCGCCCAAACTTCTCCTGTAGGGGGACAGGCCCGACTCAAGCCAAGTGTTCAGCTCGTTCACCTCCTGCCGTTGTCCATCTCTGCCGCCCGCCGCTGTTCTCGGCGAAGTTGGCGGCAGTGTCGAAGTCCTGCGTGCATTCGAGGGCGTCGTGCAGCTTGGTGGCGGCCGCCGGCGCGCCTACGGTCATCGACCGGTCGTCCATGAAAGCGAAGGGTGTCACGTCCTGGGGCTGCCACTCGCCGAGCGCGTTCCGCTACTCGCAGAGTGCCTACGTACTCGCAAACGTCCGAAATCAACAACCACACGTCTGCCTCGGTGTCGTTTGTCGCACGTTCCCTGCCCCAGATCCAGGCCACTGGCGAGCAGCGGCTTTGCGAGCAGTGGAACGCGCTTGTCTCGGGAGCGAAAGAAGGACGTAGATGTGCATGAATCCACGCTGGTTTCGAGAGCACGCATTGCACAAATGTTCGTATCACGCGGCGGGTCTCGTGAATCGAGGGGCCGTGTTCATGTACATAGCTGGGCGCGTACGTCCTTTGTGGGCTCCCTATTGTCGCGCCACGGCGCCAGGGTGGCCACCGTGCCAGTTGGCGCACCAGACCCGCCCTGCGGGAGCCCGCAGTAGGGGCGTGACCGGGGAGGAGCTCGGCGCCCCCTCGACCTGGCGGCACCCGGGGGCCCCGCCAGGGGCAGCGGAGCAGACACTGCAGGTAAGTCGGGCCTGTCCCCCTACAGGGGGATTTTGGGCGAAAAAAATAAAAAATACTCAAAACATGCCCCCCAAATGCTCAAGAGTAGTCCACAACCTCGTCCCCAGGCTGGGTAGTCGAAGGCCAGACTGTCAGATTGGATTGGGCCCCAAGGGCCAATCTGGCCTGGCCAAACTGGAGGATTTGGGTTATTCGCCAGACTGGATTCGCGTTGGCTCCCTCGCCAGATTGCCCCCGTTTGCCAGATTGGGCCTGCCAGATTGGCGCCAGATTGGCTTCGACTACCCAGGCAGACACTGCAGGTAAGTCGGGCCTGTCTCCCAACAGGGGGATCTTGGGCGAAAAAAAGGAGATACTCGAAACATGCCCCCCAAATGCTCAAAAGTAGTCAACAACATCGTCCCCAGACTATTTTGTTGGTCTAGTTTGGCACATTCCCCCTGTAGAGGGACACGCCCGCCTTAACACTGCAGGTGCCGAGGCCAACCTTCACGGTCCAGTGCCTCTGCTGCCAGTAGGTGATCATTTCGGTCGTACGCTTTGGTGAGGTTAAGGCTCACAGCCTTCTTCCGCATCCGCCGCCGCACTCAGCCAGGAGGAAATGGCGTGCACCACGGATACTCCAGGGCGCGTGGCCCACTGCGTGTCCACTGAGTGGGGCGTGATGGCCGCGCAGGCACTAAGCCACACCCGCACGAGGTAGGACGCCACCGAGACAGGACGGGAGATGTCTGTCTTTGGCTTGGTGATGCCCACCACCCGCCAGCAGAGGAGGAAGTCGACCAGGTCCTCCGGGAGGCCGGCCGATTCTCCAGCGGCGCGCGTGGTTGCCACCCACCCATGTACAGCTCCTTCCTTCGGGAAATCGAAGCGCCGCGTCAGAGCTCCCGCCTCTGTGGCTGACCCGCCGTCGAAGCCGGCCTACCCCCCGCACTTCTTGAAGGCGGCGGAGAGGGCCTCGTAGTCGGGGATCCAGTCGGCCGCGACCCCACACTGCGGGAAGGCGGCCTTGCCCGCGCAGGTGCACCACGCTGCCCAGATGGCCTCTGGGTGGCAGTCCGGCGGGTTCCAGAGCGGCTCCCACTCCGCCCGCATGGAGTCGGGCGTGAACGTCGGCGCCTCAGGGCCCGGCTTGATGACGGGACCGGCGGCGGCGCACGTGTTCGACTATACGTGATTAAGAGTGACCTTTCGCCGGAGTGACCTTTGGTGCGGGCACAGATGGGTCCCCAGATGGCTGAAAACGAAGCGGTAGCAGCGGCTTGCGCACCCAGGTTTGGTCTCCCCGCGGCCCCCAAAAAGCCGCGCACCAAAGGTCACTCTTACCCAGGGTCACTCTTGCGTGTAGCCCATGTGTCCCGAGTGAGTTCGGTGAAGCGTGGTTCCCATTGGCGGCCGCGGGCGCCCGCGCCCTTCCGCTCCTCCTTGGTGATGCTGGCACTGATGAGGTCGACTGCGGCGGCGTGCGTCGGCCACAGCGGCGGGGCGGCAGGCCACTTCGCGTGGAGTGATGGGCCGAATTTCCACCACCACCACCATGGGTAGGAGAGGAAAGAGGAGGAGGAGGAGGAGGAGGAGGAGGAGGAGGAGGAGGAGCAGAAGGCCGTCCTACCTATGGTAGCGGTGGTGGAAAATGCGCCCATCATGGAGGGCCCCCTGGAGGGCCGCCGCTCCGAAGTCGTGCAGGCGCTCGGGGGGCAGGCGCTCCGAGTCCGCTCCCGCGGTCTTTCCGTGGGCGAGCCGGCGGTGCAGCCGTCGCAGCTGTCGAAGAGCGATCGCTACATCCACCCGGTGCTGGGCCGAGCTTCAGGAGGAAAAGAAACACACAGACACAATGAATCCTCGATTCCCCCGAAAATATGGGAAAATATGGGAAGTGGGGGGGAAGACAAAAACCAAAAACAAATATGGGAAAATATGGGGAATCCTTTTATTTGTGTGTATTTATTTGTGTGTCCCAGGGCCCCTTCAGAGTTGGCGCACTGGCGGGACTCGGGTGGGGAAGCTTTCGGCCGCTCCCCGGTGCGAGTCATCTCCAGGAAGTCCCGGCGAAGTGCCAGGCGGGCCACAGTCTCGGCCTGGGCGTGCCACCGCTTCCCCTTGTCCAGCAGCGGGAAAGAGGCCTCCAGGACAGGGTACTCGGCATTGACGGCGGATTCGATGTCCCCCGCATCGGCCGGAGCATAATTGTATTGTCATTCCAAGCGCCTCTTTCTCCTCCCTGCTCCTCCCTCCTTCCTTCTCCTCCCTTCTCCTTCACCTTTACCTTTACCGCCTCCTTCTCCTGTAATGCCCCCCGCGGGCACATCGGCACGAGTGCTAGCGTCGGCGGCGCTGTGTCTTGTCATCCTGCTGTTTTTTCCTTCGTGTTGGCCTGGGGGAGGGCCGCTTTTCAGGACCCGGGGTCGTCGCAGATGGTGGCCAAAGGTGCTCCCGGGGGGAGGGGTCCGAGGCTGCGGGGCCACGCACGGGTCGACCAAACCACATCGTTGGGCGTCTGGGATGAACACCTGGTCCGAGGGGAAGGAACTCCCAGGGATCCAGGACCCGGCTCCCGCATTACTTGTTGTTCTTTCATGTTGATCCTCCCACTCCTCCTATTCATTCTCTTCCCCCCCGTCCTCCTCCTACTCACCAGCATCATCATACTCGTCATCATCAGCATCATCATCAGCAGCATCATCAGCATCAGCAGCACAATCAGCATCATCATGATCATGACGAAACTCATGAGCATGATGAAATTCAGAATCGTAATCATCAGCATAACCGACCGCGGGCGATAATAACATACCCCCCCTTTCCCCCTCTATTTTTATCCCCGTTCCTGGATTGGGGCGCGGAGGCCGAACTTTCTAATCCACGGGGTAAATTGCGAATCGAAGTTGCTGTCATCTCATGTTGACTAGCAACTGCATCCCTCCCCTGCAAGGACGGCTTCAAAGCGTGCCGCGCCTGCATGGGGGAGTGGTTCGAAGTCCAGCGCAAGAGAGGTTTCTTGGCCAGAACGGCCAAGGACCGCTCTTGCGCTGGCAAGTTGTAGGCACGAGTCTCGAGATTTCTTGAGTCAGTCTTGTGCCGAGCGCCCGCTGGCAAGTTGTAGCCACGAGCATCGAGATCTCTCGAGTCAGTCTTGTGCCGAGCGCGCAGGATCACTATCATGATGATGATGAGGATGATGATGATGATGATGACGATGATGATGATGATGATGATGATGATGATGATGATGATGATGATGATGATGATGATGATCATCATCATCATCATCATCATCATCATCATCATCATCATCAGCATCATCATCGTAATCATCTCCGGGGTAGTATTATCGCCCGTGGTCGGTTAGTCATCATCATCGTCGTCATCATCATAATCAACCAGCATAATCATAAGCATCATCAGCAGCATCATCATCATCACCATCATCATCAGCATCATCCCCGCGTTGGCGCCAACTTCTGGGCATCCGACAGGTGGCCCTCTTCAAGAAGGAGGTGGAGGAGTCCGAGGACCTGCGCCTCAGCACGGACGTGCTCAAGGTCTGCGGGACGGCGATCTCGGCGGAGTGCAGCGACATCCCGTTCGGCGAGGCCAGGATGCTGATGTGCCTGTGGGACAAGGTCGTCGCCGCCAAGCGCGAGGAACACGAAGAGTGTGCGGGCAAGGTGACCGACCTCATCGGCAGACAGGTGAGTCACTATCAGCTGGACTTCCGGGTGCGCACCAGGTGCGCTGACGACATCGGGAGGCATTGCGCAGCGGAGAAGGATCGGTGCTGCAACTGGGGGGGGTCGGTCTGGCGCGCGGAGGACGGGGGCGGCGGCGGTCTGGGAACCCTCCGGCCTGCCAATTAGGATTAAGTCGGGCGTGTCCCTCTACAGGGGGAATATTCAAAAGTAGTCAAAAAATAGTCTGGGGACGATCTTTTGAGTATTTTGTGCCCATTTGGGGGGCATTGTTTGGGTGTTCTTCGTTTTTCATTTCTCGCCCAAGTTCCCCCTGCAGGGGAACATGCCCGCCTTGGAATTAGGAAGCCTACTGCGAAGCCTCCGAGCCCTCCCGAGAAGCCCCCATGGCTCCCGAGAGTGTCCCGCCGCCCTCTGCCCCTCTGGGTCGGGCCAGGAGGCCGAGGCCGCTCGAGGGCCTCGGTCTTCGACCTCGGTGCTCCGCCCGGAGGCCTCGATCCTCGGCCCTCGGCCTCGACCTTGTAACCACTGCTGTTTCCCTTCATTTCTGTTTGGGATAATTTCGGAACTTCTCCACGTGAATGATTTTGTGCGTCTCCTGTGCCGTTTCTTTGCGGTTTGGTGCCAGGAAAGGAAAACAAGAAATACACATCGTTTTTCATTCCCGTAATGACCTTAAACATATATCACATTAGGATTTATTTGTATGTGTGTGGTTTCTCCTTAAGAAACTATGTACACACCTGTATTTCAAAAAAGAATACAGAGATAACATCAACACAAAAGGGGTAAAATGTTGAGATATGGGCTCTCGCTTTGAATAGAGCACTGCAGTCGCACCCCCCCCCCCGTGGTGGCCGGCCGCCAAAGGAGCTGGTGGACAGCCTTCCCATCGACAAGCTCTTCGGCAAAGAGGGCCAGGGCGGTAAGGTCGGGCATGTGCCAGCTGGTGCACCTCTGCACACGTACTGGCCGGGCCCATCCTGTGGCCTGCGGCCCGGATTGGTGCACGCGCCCTTCTGGCCGTGCCAGGAGGGCGCTAATCATTGACTGTGCACCGACCCTGGGCCCGGGAGGGGCCTGGCCAGCGTTGGTGCAGGAGCACTGGCGTCCTCCCGAGGTCCTCAAGTGCCTGAAGGAACACGTCGTAGACCTCCAGGCCTTCGCGGTCCTTGGAAACATCAGGGCCATGTTTTGAATATCCGTAAGGGCTTCGCCCCTTGCCGCCGGCCTCCTTCCTGGCGACTTTGTGGATCGCGGGCGCTGGTACTAGCCCCCATGGCTGCCTGCCTGTTTCGCCCGCGTTCGACCGAGCTCGAGGCGTCTGCTCTTGCCCGCCTGCCGTCGGCAGGCCTTCTGACGCCACGGGTGGAGCGCCCAGCGGCATGCGCAGAAAAACGTGGGACTACAAGATGGGAGATTTGAAGCTGGAACTGGAGCAGGGAGCAGCAGGCCTAACCCGCGGAGCCTTGTGGCCCCACAAGAAGGGGGCTGGCGGAAATTGATTGTGAGTATGAAGGCGGTAACAAACATGGTCGAAGCGGCAAAATCGGCTCTGGGACTGAAGCCAGGGCTGGAACTGGAAAAGCAACGGCGACGGAATTGAGCAACAAAAACAGCGCCAGGACAGGGAATACAGACGGCAAAACGAAAACTGTAAACCAGTGCCTTGTCGTTTTCACGAACCACTGAGCTCCAGGCGGACTGCCGGAGCGAGATGGCCCGGGTGGCGCGCGTCCAGTCGATGCATGCGGACCTCGATCCCCAGGTCCAGCGCAAGTGCAGCTCGGAGGTGGCGAAGTACTGCGGCGACACGCCGCGGGAGGACCTGCACTTGTGCCTACGGCGGCACTTCAAGGACCTGGGCCCGGAGTGCCAGAAGGCGGAGGGCCTGCAGGCCAGCCGCAGAGGGCAGTTGCACGCCACCACCCCTGGCCAGGTCCACACTCTGCCCTGCCAGGTGCCGCAGCCAAGACGCTGAGACAGGGGCCGCCTTGGGTTCCGAGCCGTTCCGTAGGTCTGGGTCGGGAAACCCAATCGTGGCCGCGGCCGAGGCTCGCCGCGGCCAGAAAAGCCTCTTCGTTCTTTGTTCGGCGCTGCTTCTGGCAGCACGATGACTGCACACGCACCCGGGGGCCCCGGACGGCGCTGGCCAGGGACGGCGGTGGTACATGGCTGCCGCTTCCGAAGGCCCGGATGGAGATCGAGACCTCGGTCATGAGGCCGAAGACGAGTGTGGTCTGCAGGCGGGCCTCGGACGTGTTCTGCAGCGGCAGGGGGTCAAGGGAGCTGCGCGGGTGCCTGGAAGAGAGCATGCACAAGGATGCGTTCCCTGTGGCCTGCAGGCAAGCCGACCCGCGCGGGGCGCCGCCCCGTCTTCCCTCCCTTCGTCGTCCTCGTCGTCTCTGTCGTCGTCCTCGTCGTCTACATCGTCGCACTTCCCCTTCGTCGTCCTCGTCGTCCTCGTCGATCCTCGCCGCCCTTCCCCCCTCGTCATCCTCTCCGTCTTTGTCGGTCGTCCCCTTTCACCTTGCCGCTGGGCTCCTTCGCGCTGGTACAGCAAAAGTGTTCTCTGTGACCTGAAGGCAAGCCCTCACCGAGGACATGGAGGCGAGCAACCACGACTGGCAGCTGAAATTCGGCATCTCCACCGAGTGCCAGGAGGACGTGCACGCTCACTGCAGGGAGGAGTCGGGCACTCCTGGGACGGGTGTGCTGAACTGCCTGTCCAGAAAGCACCTCGCGAACGAGCTGATCCGGTCGGGCTGTCAGGAAGAGGTCACGCGATACCTCAAGGCTGGCGCGCAGAACATCAGGGTCCTCCCAGATGCCTTCGAGGCGTGCCAGACGGACGTGGCCTCGTACTGCCCAGGAGTGCCAGCTGGTCAGGGGCGCGTGCACGCCTGCCTGATGAAGCACAAGAGCTCTCTGTCGCAGGAGTGCGCGGCCAGCGAGTTCCGGAACCAGGCGGCGCAGGCCAAAGACATCCGGATGAGCCCCGAGGCCATGAAATATTGCGGGCCGGTCATGACGAAGTTTTGCCCGGGTGTGGAGCCAGGCTCGATTGCATAGCACGGCGCCGGGTTGCGCACAGGCAGCCCCCCCCCACGGTAGCTTGGTAGCCCCAGCTGGCCTCAGCAGGCCTCCCGACTAGTCCCAGCTGGCCTCGAGTAGTCCAGGGGGGTTGTCCGTGCGCAGCCCGACGACCCACCACGGCCGAGCGTAAGAGTGGCGCTTCGCCAGAGTGGCCTTTGGTGTGCGGTTTTCTCGGGGGCGTGGTCCGAGGCTCGCGCGAAGACTTGTTGGTGGAGGCCCATCGAAGAGGACATCTTTGTGACTTCGCCAGGGCTCGACTAGACTTCCCCTGGCAAGGGCCGGCGACAAGGCCTTCCCCAGGCAGTCTGGCCAGGGATGTTTGCCTGGCAACAGGGCAAGAGGCGACAGGATCCCGCGGACGCCCTAATTCTGGGAGAGGGGGAGCCAGGAGCAAGGACCACACCCAAGCGTGTAGGTCGCCACTCCCCGACACCCGATGTCTTGACTTTCCCAGGCTCCACTGGAGGTCTGGCCCTGATCACCAGGGCCAGCTCCTCCTCCTGAGCCTCTGCTTTACGATCCAGAGGGGCCAGTGAGGCCCCCAGAGGCCGAAAACCACGACGCGCCTCCTCCTCCTCGAGCTTCTCGAGGCGTTGAGGCTCTGGGCCGCATCGCACGCAGGGAGCGGCAGGCGGCCGCGCACCAAAGGGCCCTCTTGCCCGGGGCCGACGCCCGCGCACGGCCGACAGGCGAGGGCAGGATGTGGGCGTGCCTCTTCGAGCACCGGTCCAGCCCGGCCATGCCCGAGCAGTGCGCCGAGGCCCTGAAGGGCCACGCCAAGCTGAAGCAGTCCGAGTTCTTCCTGAACCCCGGCATCCTCGCGAAGTGCAAGGGGGAGGCCTCGACGAGGGGCCCTCCAGACTGATGGGCCTGTTCTCCACCACCACCACCATAAGTTGGAGGGGGAGGGGGTCCTCCTCCTCCTCCTCCTCCTCCTCCTCCTCCTCCTCCTCCTCCTCCTCCTCTTACTCGTCCCCCTTCCCCCCTCCAACTTATGGTGGTGGTGGTGGAAAACAGTCCCATCACAGACGGCGCGGTGGCCACGCCGTGTGGTGAGCCATCGGGGATTCCTGGGGGCTCGGACGTTGTCGCCGATTCCCCAGGGGGCTTTCCTGCCTCGGGATGCGTCGAAAGCAGCGGCGCCTCGCCGAGGGCAATCCGGGGGTGCCCGAACGGCTGTCGGAGATCCGAGCTACAGTCGGCCCGGATTAGTTGGTTGACCCTGCTGGATCGAGGGTACCCATCGGTCGTCGAAAGTAGGTATTTTTGGACTCCCAGATTCCAATCTACTTTTTGCGCCTTCCTACTTCAAGGATCGACTGGCTTCCTTCTTGCCTCCTCATCAGGGGGCGGGCGGAGGCCCAATCTACTTCCAGTGCCTTCCTACTTCATAGCTCTACCTACTTCTTCCTACGTCCCCTTGTGTCCTGCGTCTCCTAGCTCCATAGCTGGGTACCCTTGTGTCCTGCGTCTCGCCACCCATGCCTCCTACCTTCCAGTGGCAACGTGGCCCTCGGAAGGGTCTCGTGTCCTCTCGCGTGTCCTCTCGCGTGTCCAAGCCGAACGTTTGGAGGAGGGCCGGCGTGGTGAGTCGGTGGGTATTTGGGGCGGCCGCACGGTTTTGGGGCTCGGGCCGTTCTCCGAGGGCATGCCTTGGGCGAGCGGGGGCCTCCAAGATCTCGCAGCCGCGGGGTGGCAGGCCGTGCGGTGAGGCCTCTGGGGGTTTTGCAGTTTGGAGCCCCAGGCGGTCGTTCGAGTGTTGGTCGGCGGCGAGCCGGGGGGGGGGGGAGTGAGAAGGGGCGGGCCTTCGCAGAAAGCTCAGAGGTCCCCCCGGGGGCCTGCCGAGAAGTTCTCGGAGCCTTCCCCGAGGGCGCGGGGAGCCTCTCGGGCGGCCCGAGGGCTCCGAGGAGCCCGGGCGCCCTCGAAGGAGGCCTGCGCCTCCTCGCCTGCCCCGCCGGGGCTCGCCGCCGAGCTGGGGGGCGGCCTGCCTGGCCTGGGCCTCGGCCTGCGCCTGCGCCTCCTCCTCCTCCTCCTCCTCCTCCTCCTCCTCCTCCTCACTCCTCCTCCTCCTCCTCCTCCTCCTCCTCCTCCTCCTCCTCCCCCCTCCTCCGCCTCCCCCTCCCCTCCTCCTCCTCCTCCTCCTCCTCCTCCTCCTCCTCCTCCTCCCCCTCCTCCTCCCGCCTCCGCCTCCTCCGCCTCCTCCTCCGCCTCCCCCTCCTCCTCCTCCTCCTCCTCCTCCTCCCCCTGTGGGCCGTGGCGGGCGGGGCGCGGCCACCTCCTGCGCCCTGCGCGGGAGGGGGTCCCGACCACCTGCCACGTCTGCAGTCGGCCCGCACAGGGAGGGCGAGCAGCCTCGCCCCTTCGGCCCATCCTCGGCGACCCTCGCCGGCCAGCTCCGTTCGAGAACGCCAGCATGGCCCCACATCAGGAGCGAAAGAAGGACGTACATGTACATGAATCCACGCTGGTTTCGAGAGTACGCATTGCGCAACTGTTCGTATAACGCGGCCGGTCTCGCGGATCGAGGGGCCGTGTTCATGTACATAGCTGGGCGCGTACGTCCTTTGTGGACTCCCTACCACAGGGCCCTTGCATCCTCACCGCACATCCTGATCACGTCTACGGGTTGGCTGTAATCAAATGGCTGGGATGCCAGGCGGCTCGAGGGCGGCTCGCAGCCGCCGACGAGGACGACGCCGACGGGGCACGACAGAGTTTACTAAACGGCCCGGGGCGTTTCCTAAACAGCCTTGCCCCGTCCTCCCCCTGCTACTAAGCAGCCTTGCCCTGTTCTAAAGTATTACAGGGGCTCCTCCTCGCTGGCGCTGCGCTTCGCGCGCGCGCCGCGGAAGCGGGGCCCAGCGCCGACCCAAGAGGTCCGCGCGGAGCCCCGACAGCTTGCGCGTGTTTGATCGGCGGCGCGCCCAGGGGGGAAACGAGAGGGGGCGCGCCCAGCGTTAAGTCGGGCTTGTCGCCCTACAGGAGGAAAATTCAAGAATAGCCAAAAAATAGTGTGGGAACGATTTTTTTGATTATTTTTGAGTATTTTAGGGTATTGTTTTACTATGTTTTATTTGTCGTCCAACATCGGCCTGTGGGGGGGCAGGCCCGACCAAAGCCTGGCTCAGGAGGCCTGCGTGGCCTTCTGAGAAGGTCTCTGGGCCTCCTCCAGCCTCGCCCAAAAGGCAGGGGCGGCTCCTCTCCGGCGGCCGGGGGGGGGGCTTCTGATTGGGCGGCGCGTAATGGGGGGGTCATAAATGGGGGGGGGGCGAGGGTGGTTCGAAAAGGAGCCCCCTGGGGCTCTGGAGGGGCCCGAAAGGGGCACGAAAGGGGACCTTTTCTGACCCCCCCATTTGTGACCCCCCCATTAAGCCACGCCCAATCTGAGAAGTCCCGCCGCCTTCTGGGAAGGCTTGCCCCCCCTCTCTTCAGCCCTCTGCGCGCCGCCGAGCTCCTGTTGTGGCCCTCTTCGATTATCATCGTACATCCTGTGATCATCTTCGGTTCGTGCTCTTCGATTCTCTCCTGATCCCCCTCGATCCTCTTGCCTTCGTCCTCTTACGGTCGTCCTCTTCGATTGTCTTTCCTGTTCGACCCTCTTTGAGGCATCTTTTGCTCAGATTTCGTGTTCTTCTTCGATCCTCCGTGTCAGCGCAGTTCTGCCAAGCCCCTCCGAGGCCAAGAGGCTATGCCCGGAGCAGCTGGAGCGGGCCTCCAAGAAGAACTTCGCCGCGCGCGGCTCGCACGGCACCGTGATATCTTGTCTCATCTCCAAGCGCGAGGAGGTCCAGGACCCAGATTTAAGTCGGGCGTGTCCCTCCACATGGAGAATATTCAAAAATAGTCAAAAAATAGTTTGGGGACGATTTGTTTGACTATGTTTGAGTATTTGGGGGGATTTTTTGAGTGTTTTCATTTTTTGCCCAAAATCCCCCTGTAGGGGGACACGCCCGACTTAAACCCAGATTCTGAAGCCAAGAGGTTGGCACCAACACTAACTATCGGCGGTGTGTCTCCACCGAGGGGGGATGATCCCGATCTCGGTGTCAGTGGCAATATTCGGGTCCTCGGTGGCCGAAAGATCACCACCAAGACGAACATCTAGGATCATCTCCCCCCACCGGTGGACGCACACCCCCGTTTTGGTGCTTGTGCCCATCTCCAAGGCTCCAACAGTCCTAGACCACCACCGTAGTGAAGCAATCAAGACGTACGGTTTGAAAACGCGTCGACGGGGGGGCACCCCAAGGTGGCTGAGTGCTGCTGCAGGAATTGTGGTACGTACGTACGGGCCTTGGGAGGGGCGAGTGCTGGCTCACGGGGCAGGGCGTCGCCTTCAGTGCGTCAACTCCGCGCTTGCAGCACAACCCATAGCATTACAAGGGCTCCCTCGAGGGCGCGAAGTTATTCGCGCTTCGCGGTCCTCGTTCCTTCTCCCCCTCCTCCTCGTCCTCCTATTCTCCTTTTGGGAGGGCGGCGCGAGAGCGCGAAGTTATTCGCGCTTCGCGCAGCGCGAAGCGCGAAGTTGGGAGCCCTAGGCATTAGAACTCGACCTCCACCTCGTGACCAATCTTTGCACGCACGATGGCGGGTAACGTAGTTTGCAGCAGCAGCAGCAGCAGCAGCAGCAGCAGCAGCAGCATTGGGTGGGTGGCAGTACCTCGGCCCGAGATCAGAAGAAGAAGACGGCGTACGTGTTTCTCAGTTGTCGGCCTCTAGGGGCTCTCGCCAGAATCCTGGGCTGCCCCAAAAACAGCTCGGGGATTGCCCACCCTTGCGATCAGGGCGTAGCAAGTTTTTTACAACAGGCGTTTTCGCATGGACTCGGAGTCCAGGACCCTCACGGATCAATCTGGCTTGAGAGATACCGCAGAAGGTTGAGGTATGGGGTATGGGGCTTCGGTCCTGATTTCCCGCGGCGTTGCATCTTCTCCGCGGCATCGGAATTCGGGGGTTGTGTGTCGAGGTACGGTAGGTTCACGCGGCGATGGCGCGCCGGCGACGCTGGCGAAGGTGTTCAAGGTTGAATTCCGCATGATAGAACGACGCGGGAGCATCGAGGGACACGGTGACGCCACAGGACCCGACGAAATTCAATCTTGAGCGATTGGGGCTGCAATCGGGCCGGATTCAAGGTTGAACAGCGCTCGACCTAAACGGTGTTTTAGCGATCTCGTGGACCGTGCTCGTTTTGATTTCGTGTTGCATCACAGGGGCGGCACGGGGACAGAACGAGGGAAGACGACCTCCGAGCGAAAACCGAAAGCACCGCTTGGGTCCAGCCCCAAGGTCGAGCGATCGACGCGGTGTCAAACATTTTGCGCGCCCCGACGCCGCATGGACATGCCGCAAGGGCTAGGGGGCCACATGCGAACCCTATCCCTGCCCCCCACGACTTCCGAGCGGGAGGGTGGGGTTCACTTCGCTCGGGAGCTCCCGGAGCGAAGTGAACCCCACCCTCCCCCTCAGAAGTCGTGGGGGGCAGGGATAGGGTTCGCATGTGGCCCCCTAGCAGACCCATCACCATCGGAGGAGGAGAGGAGGGAGGAGAGAGGAGGAGGAGGAGGGGGAGGGGGAGGAGGAGGGGGAAGGGGGAAGGGGGAAGGGAGGAGGAGAGGAAGGAGAGAGGGAGGAGAGAGGAGGAGAGGAGGAGGATGGGGAGGAGGAGGAGGAGGAGGAGGAGGAGGAGGAATGTGGCCCCCTAAGGGCGTGGCCCCTGCGGTGGCGCCGGCCGTTCGGCCCCCTCGGCCGCGTCGGTCCTTCGAGCCCCTCGCGCGGTCGTCTCGGTCGCCTTCGGGCCGTCGCCTTCGGGCCGCGCGCTCGGCGTCGCCTCGCGGGGGGGCCCCCGGTCGCGCGACGGAGAGCCTTAAGTCGGGTGCGTCCCTCGACAGGGGGAATGTTCAAGATTAGTCCAAACATAGTCCGGGGACGATTTTTTTTGGCTATTTTTGAGCGTTTGGGGGTATGGTTCGGGTATATGTTATGCTTTCGCCCGAAATCCCCCTCCAGGGGGACACGCCCGACTCAAGGAGAGCCCCCCCTGGGCGGGGGCGCGGAGGCGGCCACCGTAGAGTCGGAGGCACTCCAAACGGTGCGGTGACCACGCCGTGCTGTGAGTTACGGTCGGACCGAGGTGTGAGATCGAGGTCGGTTCGGGGAGGGCACCCCAATGTGCTTCGTGGTGGTTGCATGTTCTTGTTCGAGCGATCGTGTGGTTTGGGGTGGTTTGGCCGGCGGAGCGTCGGGGGCCCTCCAAGAAACGGTGCGGTGACCACGTGAGCGTTTTTTTTGTTCCTCCCCAGGGTGATGCTCGTCACCCAGGCCAACCCCCCCCCACGTACGGTAGGTTTGCGTCGTGTCGACCAGCAGCGACCCCAGCGTGGGCGTTCAGGCGTTCAAGGTTGAACGCCGCCGGCGACCCAGAATCGATCGATGTTGAACGATCGGACGTTGAGGCAGCGGCCGATCGTTCAAGGTTGAACGATCCCTGCGGTGTCAAAAACCAACGCTGGGGTCGGCACGACACGAACCTGCCGTAACGCGGCCTGGACACCCCCTTACATTGCTGTGCTGTGGTGTACGCAGGGGCGATTGATGCGCCGGTGGCGCGAACGCACCCTGGCGGGTGCACGCTGCGGCGGGGGAGGTGGGGGAACTGGGGGAGCAGCAGGAGGAGCAGGAGGAGGGCGAGGACGAGGACGATGGCGTCGACGGCTGCGACGACCTCGCCGCCGCCGACGACGGCCAACACAACGACGACGCTGCCGCCGACCATGACATCCGACGATGTGATTGTTTTCAGTGCGCGGCCCACGAGGTCCCAGCCCCGTCCCTCGGGGTAGTTTCAGGAGGGGAAAAAACACACAGACACACTTAATCGTCGATCCCCTGGAAAATATGGGAAAATATGGGAAGTGGGGGGGGAAGACAGAAACCCAGAAACTATGGGGAAATATGGGGAACATTTTTATTTGTGTGTATTTATTTGTGTGTCCTGGGGCCCCTTCATAGTTCTTCGTCACGGACAGATGTTTGATGGTCCTGGCGCCCGACGAGCGGAGGCCCGAGGCCGAAGTCGGGGAGAGGCTCCGTGATCGAAGAGACCTCGTCGTCGGATATTCGGGGGGGTCGACGACCTCGAGGGCGATGACGAGGGCGGCCGCAACCACGACGGCCACTAGCGCTCGATTGGCCCAGACATCCGATGTCGGGAGTTTCTCCATGCGTCCGGGCCGAGATATAAGGTCGAGGTCGGTTCGGGGTGGTACCCACACGCTCTCCGTGCTTGTTGCATGTTCTTGCGCATCCTGGGGGAGGGCACCCTCGAGTGACCTCACGGTCTGGGGTGTCTTGGTTGGCGGAGGGTCCCATGTTCTTAAAAGCGTGTTTTTCTGTCCTAGGTCCGACGGTATTGGGGATTGATGGGGACTCGAACGTTTTCGTCTGTTCTTGTGGGTTTTCATGCCTTAGCTGCTGCGTTCCAGCAGCTGCGCCTCGCCGAGGGCGTTCTGGGCGTGTCTGGATTGTCCCGAGCGACCTCCGGAGGCCCGAGTTATGGCCTGGAAACCAAAATGTTTGGAGGAGGGCCAGTGTGGTGTGTCAGTGGGGACTCGGCGTTGGGGGCCGACAAAATGGGGGGCAGCGGATGCCGCAGAATGGGGCCCTCGAGGGTCCTTCAAGAGGCCCTTTCAGGCCCAAGAGGGGGCCTTGAGGGCCTGAGAAGGGCATCTTTCTCCCCGACCCCCCGTTTATCGCTCCCCCCGTGTAGTCTTAAGTCGGGCGTGTCCTTCTACAGGGAGACGATTATTTTTATTATTTTTGAGCATTTGGGGTGTATGTTTTAAGTATTTTCGTTTTTCGCCCAGAATCCCCATGTAGGGGGACATGCCCGACTTAAGTGCATTCGCGCCCAACTGGAAACCGAAAGGTTTGGAGGAGGCCCGGCGTGGCGTGTCTCAGCGGGGACTCGGGGTTTTCGGATTCGGCCCTCCGATGATGTCTCGGGCGGCTGGGGTCTCCGGGGGTCCCAGAGCGGCGCGGTGACGGGTCGTGCGGTGAGGTCTTTGGAGATTTCGAGGTCCCCGCACGGTCTGTCACCGCATCGTTTTTTTCAGCCTCCCAGGATGGGGTCCGAGCATATGGGGTCGGAGGATCGCGCCGCACCGCCGACGCATCGCCGATGCGGCTCGATGCGGAGCTGCGTCGCCGACGTCGGCGATGCATCACCGATGCATGTCCGATGCATCGCCGAAACATCGGCAATGCGGCGCGATCCTCCGACCACCCCATCTAGGATTAAGTCGGGCGTGTCCCTCTACAGGGGGAATATTCAAAAACAGTCCAACAAATGGTCTGGGGACTATTTTTTGGGGGGGCATTTTTCATTTTTCGCCCAAAATCCCCCTCCAGGGGGACACGCCCGACCTAAATCTAGGAGGGCGCTGTTTCGGAACGCCCGAGAGAAGGACCCGGACTGCCTGGCCGCCGTCCGCGGCGAGCAGGGCGAGCGCGTGCAGATGGCGGCCCTGGACCCGGAGCACGAGCCGGTCTGCGCAGCGGACATCCGCAGGCACTGCCTGCTGGCGCAGCGGAAGGCCGAGCTCTCGCGCGGCACCGACGGTCTTCGGAGGAGGAAAAGGTACCCATACCTCTACCCTTCCCTCGTTTTCCCCTTTGGGGGCCTCCAGGGCGGCCCTCGTCGCCACCGTTGGATTCGCCTCGAAGTCCTGGTCAGAACGCACCCCAGGAGAGGTCCGGGGAGTAGCGGTATCGGTACCTCTTGGTCCCCCCAGGCCTCGTACACAAGTGCCTCCAGGATCACCTGCCCGATCTCTCGGAGGCGCTCGGGGAGGAGGGGAGCCGCGGGAGCAGAAAGAGAGCTTCCAGAGCTCCGCGCGGAGAGTTCTGGGGGTCGGTGTCCGGCCTCCCCGGCGGCGCCTCGGGCGCAGCCCCCGAGCGCGCTCCGCGCGCCAGGCAGAGGAGGAGGAGGAGGAGGAGGAGGAGGAGGAGGAGGAGGAGGAGGAGTAGGAGGAGGAGGAGGAGGAGGAGGAGGAGGCGCCGATCCGAAAAGTCAGCGCGGAGCTACGACAGTTTCGGAGGTCGATAGGCCTCCTACCCTAACACGTCGATTGAGAAACTGGCCGTGTTCGGTTCGCGAGAGGGCGTCGCGGCCATCATTTTTGCGGGTCCAGGTCCGCCGGTTTCGGTCCTGGGCCGTTTTCACTAAAGGGAGGTTTACCAAAGGGAGGTTTGTCCACCGCCGAAAGTTGATGCTTGAACCATTTCTTGTTCCTCTAGGCGTGCGCCAAGAAGGAGCGCGAGTACATGGTCATGGCTTCCGAGGAGGCGCGGCTGAACATCCCCATCGCGCAGAGCTGCAGGCAGGCGACGCAGCGGTGGTGCGACAGCGTGCCCGACGAGGAGTCGCCGTGAGGAAGAGGGTGTCCCGAGAGGGAACGCCAGGCAGGCCTGGGACCCAGATTTTCGCGTCGTGAGCAAAATCACGACGGGAGGTTGTTCGCAGATGCTTGTTTCCGGGGCCCCTCTCCGGGCCCCAGGACCGTCCGAAAACAACTTTGGGCGAAAAGACAGTCCCCGGGAAGGGGTCGACATCTCTGGGGGTCCACGATCTGAAAAATCATGACGTCGGAGGTCTGGGGATGAGGATCGGTCGCTCCAGAGCCTTCCCCGGCTCGGGTGCGCTGCGGAGCGATCGTGGCGCGATCCGCTGGATTCAGAGATTCCCAGCGTGCCATCATCCGAGGATGTCCTCATTCCGGCTTCGTGTTTGGGAGGGGGTCCCACGAGGGCGCGAAGTTATTCGCGCTTCGCGCTTCGCGGTCCTCGTTCCTTCTCCCCCCTCCTCCTCGTCCTCCTTTTCTCCCTTTGGGGGGGCGGCGCGAGGGCGCGAAGTTATTCGCGCTTCGCGCTTCGCGGAGCGCGAAGCGCGAAGTTGGGAGCCCTAGTGTTTGGGAGGGGGTCCAGAGTTGTTTCGCCCTGTCGGGCTTCTCGGGGGCGGCCCTTCCCAGGACCGCCGGCAGAGGAGTGTTCGAGCGGCGGCGAGCGGCGACGGGGCGGCGACGAGCCGTCGACAACTACAAAGGACGAGAACGGGGAGGCTCCCCGTTCCTCCTCCTCCTCCTCTTCCTCCTCCTCCTCCTCCTCCTCCTCCTCCTCCTCGTCCTCCTCGTCCTTCTCGTCCTCCTCCTCGGCCAACCGCGACCTCGTCCCTATCTGGGTAGTCGAAGGCCAGACTGTCAGATTGGATTGGGCCCCAAGGGCCAATCTGGCCCGGCCGAACTGGATGATTTGGGTTATTCGCCAGACTGGATTCGCGTTGGCTCCCTCGCCAGATTGCCCCCGTTTGCCAGATTGGGCCTGCCAGATTGGCGCCAGATTGGCTTCGACTACCCAGCCTATCCCTGACATCCGACAAGCCCGAGGCGACTGCCAATCGCAGGGCCGCGCCCTCCGAAACCGAGGGGGCCCTTGAGATCGGCATCGAGACGGCGCGACGGGGCCCGGGCTCGTCGGGGCCCTGCCCAGTCCGTCGACAAGAAGCGGTTCGGGGTGAGGGGCTGGGTCCGGGGAGAGAGCCGCAGGGTCCAGGATTTCGGGCGGAGAGAGCTATGCACATGCACCGATCCTGGCAAGGCCCATCCTTGGCCAAGGATCGGTGCATATGCTTTCCTGGCCACGTCAGGAGGGCATATGCACCGATCCTGGGCTCAGGATGGGCCTGGCAAGAATCGGTGTATGTGCATAGTTCTCTTTCCTCTAGGATTGACGTTCGCTTCGCGTCGCTTCGCTGCGCGTCCCTCTTGCCGCCAGGAGGGGCTGCTCCAGACATGCCTGCTGAAGCACGTGCACGACGAGAGCATGGAGATCCCCTGTCGCCAGGCGCTCATGGGCGAGCAGGTGAAGCGGGCCACTTCGCTCAGATTCAACCCGCACCTGCGGAAAACGTGCTCCAACGAACTGCACAGGCCCACGAGTCCAGAAAACAGAGGGTGGGGGAGGAGGACGCGGACGAGGTAGAGATGGAAAGCTCGGGGAGGACTGGAAGGAGGAGGAGGAGGAGGAGGAGGAGGAGGAGGAGGAGTAGGGGGAGTGGAGAGAGGAGGAGGAGGCGGAGGAGGAGGAGGAGGATAGGAGCAGGAGGAGGAAGAGAGGAGGAGGAGGAGGAGGAGGAGTGAAGGAAAAGGAGGAGGAGGAGGAGGAGGAGAGCAGGAGGAGGAGGAGGAGGAGGAGGAGGAGGGAAAGGAGCAGGAAGAGGAGGAGGGTAGGGGGGCAGGATGAGGCGAACGAGGAGGCCGAAGGGCGAGCGAGAGAGAAGGAGGAGGAAAAGGAGGAGGAGGAGGAGCCTTCTGAATCTGCTGCGCCGCCACCCCCTGTTCGTTACGCGCCTCGTTCCGTTCGAGGTGGTGGCGCAGCCTTGCACTCCGAGGCGCGTGCTCATTGCGTCCAGCCCAGACCCACGACGTCGTTTTTTTCACAACGTCGACCTCCAGAGGTCTGGACCCCTTCCCCAGGACCTGTTTTTCATCTTGAGTCATTATGTTGACGGTCCTGGGGACCCGTAAGGGCCCCCCAGAGGCCGAAACTAGCGACAAATCCCCCTCGTGATCTTCCTGGGGGGAAGTGAGAGGGGGCGGGTCTTCTCAGAAGGCTCGGAAGTCCACCGGCCTTCTGAGAGGGTTCTTTCCCCGAAGACATAGGAGGCGTGTCAGAAGTCGCGAGGGCTTCTGAGAAGTCCTGCCGCCTTCTGAGAAGGTCTTCGCGACCTTGCTTAGGCGGGCCCCAGGGTGGGAGGAGGAGGAGGAATAATAGGAGGAGGAGGAGGAGGAGGAGGAGGAGGAGGAGGAATAGGAGGAAGAAGAGGAGGAGGAAGAGGAGGAGGAGGAGGAGGGGAGGGGAGGGGGAGGCGAATTCAGATCATTTCGGGTACTGAAGCGTCCTGGCCAGACCCCAGGCGTGCACCTTCAGTGTTCCCATCTACCTTTACACTTACATGTAGATTCCCACACCTTTTCATATTGTCTATCGGTGTTGCTGTTGCCGCGACATTTTGCCTTGCGAGCACGACGGCCAAGGAGCCGACCTGGTACAGACGTGCCCGGGCCAAAAGAGCCCAAGCCAGAACAGTGCTAAGACGTCAGAAGGCTACCTGTTTGATTCAGAAGCATCACTTCTGTAACATGGCTAGTCGAAGCAGTCGTGGACCTCGGCAAGGATGACCATGGGGTGACCTGGGATTGCATTTCTTGCGGCCGATATGTGAAATCTCATCACTGGCAGTTTCTTTGCGGGACGTCCTCCGGGAAGGACCAACAGTTGGCCAATCCAATCCCAAGTCTGCGTGGGGGGAGCGCGCGCGCGCCGGCACCGTTTTCTGATTTCTTCTGCGCATTGCCGTGGCGCAGAACCAAAAAACAAAAAACTGTTGGCCAATCCAATCCCATGGGGTCCAGAGGTGCTCCTTTTGAGATCGGAACCGGTGGGCGACCCAGGCCGAGATGCGCCCCTCCCGTCCACGGCCAGACCCTACCAGAGAGAAGCCAGACTCCAACATGAGGGATGCCAAGGGCATCATCCAGCAGACCGTGCCTATTTCAAGGGCCAACATGTCGGGATCGATCTTGGCCTCTTCCTTCCATGCTGAGCCGTCCACTGACGTGCATAACTTCAAGAGGCACAGGAAGCATACTTACGCCCGTATGCTTAGGCTTGCCTAAAATCTTTCAGCGTCCCAACAAGCTGGTCATGGACATGAATGCGTCACATTGGAGCTTTATGTTTGTAGGTGAATGCAATGATCCACCGATTCGGCCAATTGTCAGACTCATTAGTTCAACATCAGCAAAGACAGGAGTGGACAAGCTGAAACACATTCGTGATAAGTTTGCAGTCACTTTCGCAGGAGTATCTCCTCAAGCAGATCCAGGCTAGTTTTACCGAGCTAGACAACCTGGCGGCTGAAGCCGAGAACGATGATGACGATGATGATATGGGTGTTGGTGCTGGTGCAGTCTCTCTGAGGGTACCATTCATTCGCCAAGAGGTACGCGCAAACACCCAGCTGGTATTGCACCCACAGGGATTCCTACGACGGCGGCTCCGACAGGTGCTCCCACTACGTCGGCACAGCCGCCGTAACCACATCAAGGAATTCCACCCCAGGCTCCGCCACAAGTGCTTCCGCCACCGCCTGGCGCAGCGCCACCACCAACGCAGAAGACAGTGGACAACCGATGTGACATGATTCATGGTATGATGGTTTATCTCCAGCAGTAGTCTCAGCATCAAGCAGCTCAGGACCAGAAGGTAAATCAAATAGCTTCGGTTGTGGGGTTTATTGAAGGGGGTCTGCAAAGAGGGACGGCCCGCCAGCCTCCACATTTGCAGCGACAGTGGGCCCACTAGCGAGCTCGACAGATGCAGCGCATGTCTGCGAAGTACCAGTCCCAGCTACCCCGCCAGCGGCCAGAGCTCCTAGATCTCTAGTTCTGGAGCCTGCAAAGATGCAGCCCACATCGCCGTTCCCGCCTGCGCAGGGGACACCGACCGGAGTGGTGTCACCAATGCCAGTAGCGACCTCGCCAATTGGGGGGTCCCGTGCGCCAGACATGGAGGAGACGCCAGCAGCAGACGCGGACCTGCTTGCTGCGACACTGCCCATGACGTTCTCAGAGAATCCGCTGAGAAAGCCACCCGAGCACCCGAGCATCCGATAACGTGGGAAGTGATCGACTCGGACTCCATCAGTGAGTGACCCGCCAGACCCAGAGACGGTCAGCCCTCCTCTCAAGGAGTCCAGACGGACAGAGAAGAACGAACATTTGAGGCAAATCACAGGAGAATGGTTGATTGGGGCCCTGCTCACTTGCATTTTTTCGGGTACCTGAGCCCCCCCATCATCCATCTGCTTTCCCCTCATACTCGTCCCTCACGATCTACCCTCGTCTCTCATTCATCTTCAACCCCCTGGCACAGGCTGCACAATCTCTTGCAGTCAAGTCAGCACTCAGTCCTGGGACAAAGGACTGGTACGGTCTGTCTCTATCATTGCAGCTACACTGGCCGTCGACTATGTTGCCTCTGTCTACGATCACCTACCTGAGGCCACGTCTACAACTACTCTCAAGCTCGAAAGCTGCCCGTGGGAAATGTACAATAGGCGGCACTTTCTGGAAAGCAGCACGCGCACATACCTGCACCGAGTACTCAGACACCTCATGGGAAATAGGTTTGTGCAAGGGAACTTGTGCGATTGTTTGCGCTCGCCCCTCGGCTTTGGACCCAGGAAGCACGGTTGTTTCCGATGGTCCAGCGTCCTTGGCAGGGGGAGGAGGGCTTATAGCACGGGGATTGTAGGCAGTACGAGATTCAGATCTTCATACGCACCGAGTTCGCCTTGTTCCCAGGACGTGGGTAACCACGCAGGTCGAACCAGAGCCCTCGAGCACACTTTCGCTGACGTCAAGATCCCATCAGTTCTACTGGCTTCCGAGCTCATTTCGTTTGTTGTCCTCCCCTTCCCGAGCAGGGCGTGCCACTCCTAAGTGTACCAGACGCTCGCTGCTGCGCCGAATGTTCTTCATATTCCAGTTTCGGTACCAAGCCACTCGGGCCATGTGGCTCTCTCTCGTTCCTTGTTTTGGGTGCAGTTTCGCTGAGTAGCAGTCCTGATTATGTCCCCCTCTCTGACATGCACCGAATGTTCTTCATATTCCAGTTTCGGTACCAAGCCACTCGCGCCATGTGGCTCTCTCTCGTTCCTTGTTTTGGGTGCAGTTTCGCTGAGTAGCAGTCCTGATTATGTCCCCCTTTCTGACATGCATTTACCTTTCCGTGGGTGTCCTCGCGGGCTCGAGCTTAGCTCGGCTGGGTTTGGCGAGTCTGAAGGCCTTGCAGCGCCCAGGACCATTCAGGGGTCCCCCAGGGCTCTCAGACTGGACGTTACGTCGGACCTTGATGAAGATCTCTTGCGGCCCCAACGTGGACCTCTGAATCCCTTTTGCGTGCTGTGGTTTCCCTGAATGAGCTCTCTGAGGGCTGTCTCATTGCTCTGGAGGTTTTGCCCGTAAGAGACCTGGACCCTTTCACCAGATCAGCATCTTCTCCGACGGCTGCTTCACCGCTGCTCCTCGGGTCCTTGTGGAGGGCCTGCGGCGCGGGGCTGCCTCGCGCCCTCCTGGTCCTATCGGGCGCCCTCCCTGTCGGAGAGCAAACGGGCGGGCGGAGGCGGGCCATCGGGCCCGGCGGAGCTCGGGTCGGACGCGGCCCTGGGCGTCGCGCAAAAGGGGCGGTGCACGGGGGGCAGCGAGGGTCGCCAAAAAGGGGCCCTTTGGGGGCCCAAGAGAGGCTTCTAGGGTCCGAGAAGTGCACCTCCCCCCCCCCCCGTTTATCGCTCCCCGCGAAGCAGCGCCCAAGAAGCCATGGTTTCGAGACGGTGGTTAATACATGACCACCGCCTGGGGGGGACCGATAGTCGTGGACCTCCACAGGCGGTGGGTATGGATATGTGTTGCCCCTCTGGGGCCAATCTCTCTCTCTCTCTCTCTTCCTTTTTTTTTCTCTCTCTCTCTCTCTCTCTCTCTTTCTCTCTTCATATATATATAGAGAGAGAGGGAGAGACACCGTTCTGTTTATATTTTTCATAGCATATGTATACACGTATGTGTAATAAACACATTCACATGTATACACACTGCACATATGAATATACACGTATCCTGATCCACCGCCCGCTGGGTCCCCAGGGCGTCGGTTTCAAGGTGGTGGATATGGATAAACACCCGCCTCGCAATTGGCGCAGAAGAGACGACCATGATCGCTGAGCTGATCAGCCCCAGAGATCCGGCGCTTCAAAAGATTGGAGCGGTCGGTTTTTGAAGGCTTTCGGCCTCCAGGGGCCCTCGCCGGGCTTCGGGACCGTCAGAAAACAGCTCAGAACGAAAAGCTGGCCCCAGGGAAGTGGTCCAGAGCTCCAGGGCCCACGCAGCAAAAAGATTGGAGCAGCCGGATGTTTGAGGATGAAGCCATGGGCGAAGAAGAGACGACCACCATCGTTGAGCTGAGCAGTCACGCGCAGAGGTCGCCATGGGGGAAGCGGGTCCTGAGGGAATTGGGTCCTGAGGTTTTTTCTCCGTTTTCGGGCTCTCGGGGCTTTCCACCGGCCTCGGGACTGTCAGAAAACGAGTCAGGATGGAACATTCGTCGCGGGGGAACGCCCTAGGGTCCAGGACCAGTTTCTCTCAGGACCCGTTTCTTCATGCTAACGCCACGCGCAGAGGAGATGGGGGAAGGGGTGAGGGTATCTTAGAAGCACCCCTGCTTCTTAGAGGCCTCCTCCTGTCCCTCCGTCCTCTTGTGCGCGCCCGCAAGCTGGGGAGGGTGGCCACCGTGACACGGGCGCCAGCTTTGTTGAACAAGTTCAGAAAGCCCTTCTGTACAAGCGAGACCAGGTCGGAGTTGGGGGTGCGCCACGGGCGGTTCTGGGGAAGCAGGAAGGTACCGACACCGCTGCTCCCAGACTCGAGCTGAACCCCAACAGAACGGGGGACAGAGACTCCGGCGAGAGAATCTCCCATGATTCTTGGGGGGCGCGTAATGGGGGGGTCATAAATGGGGGGGTGGCGAGGGTGGTTCGAAAAGGTACCCAAACGGTACCTAAACGAGCCCCCTGGGGCTCTGGAGGGGCCCGAAAGGGGCACGAAAGGGGACCTTTTCTGACCCCCCCCCAATTGTGACCCCCCCATTAAGCCACGCCCAAGATTCCGCGATTGCACGAAGACCACCCAGCGGTGCTGACCTGCGCGCGGCGCCCGATGTCAAGTGCCTCGCGCAGGCTATCACCGCTGGGAGGCCGAGGCCGGCCTCGGGGGGGTCGCGGGGCAGGGGCGGTCAAGCAAGCGAGCGGGGGGGGGGGCGCCGAGAAGAAGGAGGCACTCTCAGGAGGCGGCGGGGCTTCTCAGAAGCCCTCTGTGCCTTCGGGGACGGCTCCGCCGCAAGCTGCTCCGAAGGCCCGATGCCATGAGGGCCTGCAGGCCCGCCCCTTCTGGCCCCCCTGAGTCAAGGGAGGAAAGACCACCCGGACCGGACAATTGGCGTTTACTAAACGGCCCTGGGCGTTTACTAAACAGCCCTGCCCTGTTTGATTCCTTCTTTGGGCGCGTTTGCTAAACGGCTTCGCGTGTCGGGGTGGTTATTCTCGGGGTGGATGTTCTGCCCTCTACTGAGAGGTGCTCCGTGCCTTCGGGGACGGCTCCGCCGCAAGCTGCTCGGAAGGCCCGATGCAAGGGGAGGGCCTGCCGGCCCTCCCCGCCTCGCTCCCCCTCCCCCGTGGGCTCGCCGCCGAGCACGGGCCCTCGAGCCCCAGCGGCGCCACGGAGTGACTCAGCACGGGGGGGAAGCGGGTCCTGAGGGAAGCGGGTCCCGGACCCCGGGGCCTTCCCCTCGGGGCGAGCGGGTCCTGGGGGAAGCGGGTCCTGAGGGAAGCGGGTCCTGGGGGAAGCGGGTCCTGAGGGAAGCGGGTCCTGAGGGAAGCGGGTCCTGAGGGAAGCGGGTCCTGAGGGAAGCGGGTCCTGAGGGAAGCGGGTCCTGAGGGAAGCGGGTCCTGAGGGAAGCGGGTCCTTCAACGGCACCGCAACGGGTACTTACTAACGGGTACTTTGAAATTTCGCCGAAGGTTGCCACTTTAGGGCCTTTTTCTGGCATTGCAGCGTTGCCCACATCGGGAGGGGTTGGGTTCGCTGAGTCACTGGCCAAAGTACCCGTTAGTGGAGTCCCCGTTTGAGGGGCGCTGAGTCCCGGACCCCGGGGCCTTCCCCTCGGGGCGAGCCTCTTCGACTCTCCTCCCGGGTCGCTGTCTGGCAGTCCCGGGGCATCGTGGAGCGGAAGCGGCGAGAAGCACCTCCAGGGGCCCGCTGCTCTCCTCTCGGGACCCCCATGGCGGATCACCGCCCCACGGCGGATCACCGCTCGAAGGAGGAGGGTGGGGGAGGAGAGGAGGAGAGGAGGAGGAGGAGGAGAGAGGAGGAGGAGGAGGAGGAGTGAGGGGAGGGGGAGGTGGAGAGGGGAGGAGAGAGGAGGAGGAACAGCAGGAGCAGGAGCAGAGGGGAGGGGAGGGCGGAGGGGGAGGGGAGGGAGGGGGAGGGGGAGGGGGGAGGGTGGGGGTGGGGGGAGGGGAGGAGAGGGAGGAGGGAGGAGGGAGGAGAGGAGGAGGAGGAGGGGGGAGGGAGGAGGAGAGGAGGAGGTGGAGCTCCCTCGCCCACAGCCCGCGCGGCCGTCGTCTGCGGCCCTGCGGTCGGGCCGCCTGCGCTCCGCGGGCGCCGCGCCCTCGGCGGGCGGCTCGGCCGCGGGCGGCGCCGGCCGCCCAGGGTGCTGCCGGGCCCTCGAGGGGGCCAAGGAGGCGCCTCGTGGCCCTCGAGAGGGGTACTCTACCCATATTTCGTAATAAAGGGAGGGGGGTCTCATTTCGGGGGGGTCTCTTCCAGGCTATCTCGGGGCCTGGGGGGTCTGGGGACGATGTTCTGGAGGGTTCTCCCACGGGGGAGGTCTGAAATGGCTTGTCTTGGAGGGTCCAGACCCCCTCCCTTTCATTACGAGGGGGTACCCTCGAGGGGGTACCCTCGTGGCCCTCGAGGGGAAGCGCCTCGTGGCCCTCGAGGGGGTGCCCTCCCCAGGGAGGATCGCGCCGCAGTAGCGTCATGGAGAGCCCAGAGGCCCGACGCTCCGAAAAAGCACTGGAGCGCGGGCGGTCTGGGGCCGTCTTCGGCCTCCCGGGGCCCTCGCCGGGCCTCGGGGCGGTCAAAAAAAAAACGACTCGGGAGGAGAAACCAGATCGGCGGCGAGCCTGGGGTCGGAGGGCACCAACTATACACCAACACCGATCCTGGCCCAGGATCACCCTGGGCCCAGGATCGGTGTATATGCCTTCTTGCGCAAGGCAGGAGGGCGTATACACCGATCCTGGGCCCAGGGTGATCCTGGCCAGGATCGGTGTTGGTGTATAGTTGGTGCCCTCCTATGGGGGGGAAGCGACGAGGGGCGGGCTTTCTCCGAAGGCTCGGAAGTCCCCCCTGCCTTCTGAGAAGTGTTCGGGGCCTGCCCCGAAGACACCTGGAACACTTTTCAGAGGGCCGGGGGCTGAGAAGGCCTTCTCCTCCTCACTTCCGCCCATCGCTCACCGCCGAAACACCAAACACATGATGAGAGATTTGTCTCTGTTTCCGGCATCTGCGGGGCCTTCGACGGGCCCTGGGCCGTCAGAGAACGACTCGAAGAAGCCGGTCTTGGGGAAAGGGTCGGGGCTTCTGGGGAGGACGCATTGAGAAAAACAATCAGGACGTCACACGCCCGGGCTTCTGTTCTTCGTGTTTGAGGCTCTCCACCTTCGGAATGTCCCTCCCTCGGGGTATCTTCATGGGGCACTGGGCCTTCGGCGAAAGGGGCCGACGTTCTTGATCCACGTTCCCAGAGATCCGATATCGTGTTTTTTTCAATACGCGGTTCCCGGAAGTCTCGACCCATTCCCCAGGACCGGTTTTTCATCTTGAGTCGTTTTTTGACGGTCCCGAGGACCGGCGAGGGCCCCTAGGGGCCGAAATTTGCGAATTAATTCCTCTTTGTTTTTTTCCATACGTTGGCTCTCCGGGTCGGCCATTGGGCTTTCGGCGAAAGGGGCCAGCGTTCTTGAGTCACGTTCTGGTGGCCGTATAGGAGGAGTAATCGGAGGAGAGGTAATTTGAGGAGGAGTATTAGGAGGAGAGGTAGAAGGAGTAGGAGGCGGAGGAGGAGGAGGAGGAAGAGGAGGCAGAGGAGGAGGAGCAGGAGGCGGAGGAGGAGGAGGAGGAGGGAGGAGAGGAGGCAGCAGAGGAGGGGAGGATGAGGAGGGGGAGGATGAGGAGGAGGAAGAGGAGAGAGGGGGAGGAGGAGAGGGGAGAGGAGGAGGAGAGGAGGAGGAGGAGGAGGATGAGGAATGTTTCGACCGTGCTGGTCCTTTGGCTACGGGCCGACGGCTCGGCCGAGCCCCGCCGCCGGCTCACTCGCTTCGCCGTGCGCCGCAGAGCTTGGCCCAGGACGACGAGGGGGGGGGGGAGGCATAGGGGGGGAGGCAGAGGAGGATGAGGAGGAGGAGGAGGAGGAGGAGGAGGAGGAGGAGGAGAGAGGAGGGAGGAGGAGGAGGAGGAGGAGGAGGGAGGGAGAGGGGAAGAGTAGTAGGGAGGTGGAGGGGAGGAGGAGGAGGAGGAGGAGGAGGAGAGGAGGAGAGGAGGAGGAGGAGCAGGAGCAGGCAGCAGGCAGCAGCAGCAGCAGCAGCAGCAGGAGCAGCAATGAGCAGCAGCAGGAGCGCAGAGGAGGGGGAGGGGGAGGGGGGGGGAGGGGGGAAGGGAAGGGGGAGGGGGAGGGGGAGGAGGAGGAGAGGAGGAAGGAGGAGGAGAAGGAGGAGGAGGAGGAGGAGGAGGAGAGGAGGAGGAGGAGGAGGAGGAGGAGGAGGAGGAGGAGGAGGAGGAGGAGGGGGGGAGGCATAGGGGGGGATGCATCGACCCCCAGTCGCCCACTGATCGCCGGCAGGGGCCGATAGGGGGCCCGATAATCTGCTCGATGTATCGCCGATTCCAGGTCGATGTTTCCCCCCCCCCACATCTGCCCCTCCCCATCTATCGTTGCCCCTCGCCCTACGGTCCCCCTTTGTCGGCCCCCCGTTAAGCGACGCCCAGCATCCTCCCTCGTCGCCGGCCCTCGCAGGCTCGTCCAGGAGGGCAAGTGCGACGCGTTCCGACAGCCCGGAGGCCGGAAGCCGGGCGCCCTGGTGGATTGCCTCACCGACCACGTCGAGGAGATCCAGGACCCTGCCTGCAAGGACGCAACGCTCAAGGCCATCGGGTGCGAGGGGGAACGAGGATCAAGCAAAACGGGGAGGAGGAGGAGGAGGAGGAGGAGGAGGAGGAGGAGGAGGAGGAGGAGGAGTTGAGGAGGAGGAGGAGGAGGAGGAGGAGGAGGAGAGGGAGGAACAGGACGACGAGGAGGAAGAGGAACGAGAAGGAGAAGGATTGCGGCGCGTGGATTAGCGATGAGTCCCGCATCCGTATAGTATCGAACGCCCTCCGTCGCCAAACCAGGCAACACTGGCTTTCTGTTTGGGTGTACTTTCCCGAGCCAAGGATCTGGCGCCCGCGCGCCAGATCCACGGATTCTTACTTCATGTCAGCGCTTGCCCGAGGCTTGGAGCAGGGGCTGGAGGCAGAAGGCAGGAGGAGGAGGAGGAGGTGAGGAAGGAGGAGGGGGAGGAAGGAGGAGGAGGAGAGGAGGAGGAGGGGGAAGAGGAGGATGAGGATGAGAGGAGAGGGGAGGAGGAGGAGGAGGAGGAGGAGGAGGGAGGGAGGAGGAGGAGGAGGAGGAGGGGGAAGGAGAGGGGAGGAGGGGTCGGAGAGGAGGAGGGGTGGAGGAGGGTTAGAAGGGGGGGCGTGGAGGAGAAGGAAGATGAGGAAGATTGAGGGCGGTGGAGTAGAAGGCCTCGGACCCCATCTACTGCGTAAGTATCACTCTCGGATCTGCGCTGGGCCCTCTCTGGCGGCGCCTCCGCCGCCGCCCCCGGCGAGCTCCGTGCGCCAGGAGGGGCGTCCAGCGCCAATCCAGGAGATCCACGTGGAGGTCGGAAAGTTTATATTGCGAAGGTCTTACGGCCGGTGCCGCCGACCCTGAAGGGGGACGTCGACGACGACGGCGGCGGTGGCGGCGGCGACGACGACGACTCTGACATGGGCCCGAGTCTCCAGGGATGCTTCTTGGGGGCTCTTGAGATTGCTCTCGGGGGCCTCTGGGGGGGAATTTCGGGAGCATCTTGGGAGCCTCTTTTTGGGCCTTTTCGGGTGTCCTGGGGGCCTCTTGTGGGCTTCTTGGGGCCTCTTTTGGCAACCTCTTGGGGCCTCCTGGGAGCTTCTCGGGGCCGAGGGCTCGAAATGTCCGTTCGGGTTTCCCGTCAAGGCACTCTCTTGGAGCCGTCTTGGAGACATCTTGGGCCGTCTTGGAGGCGTTTTGGGCTGTCTTGGGGTTCTCTTGGCATGTTTTGGAGTGTTCTCGGGAACCTCTTGGGCCGTCTTGGGGCGATCTCGATGGCCTCTTCGGCCGTCTTGGAGCGGCAGAAAGCAGAAGAAAGCGAGAACGCCCAAATCTGTCAAAAATTTAAGGGGAATCAAAGATGTTTGCCTCTTAGGGGCCCTCTCGGGAGTGCATTTGGAGGCCTCTTGGGGCGTCTTTGTGGTCTCCAGGGCAATCTGGGAACGTGAAGGCGTTTTGGATCGATCGTTTGGCGATTGGGAGCCCTCTTGGACCGTCTCGGGGGCCTCTTGGGGCACTCTTGGCTTGCTTTGGTATTTTTTGCAGCCCCAGGAACCCCAGGGGGGGATGCGTATCTGACCCCCCCAGCCCCCCCCCCCCAGGACCTCGTCCCCCCGACGGGGGAGGGATCAAAGGGAGGGGCTTCCCCTCGATTCGATTACGACATTGCGAGGTTTTTCTCTCGCTGACAGGCTTGAGGAGGGCGCAGGGAAAGGGGGAGGCGCAGACGACGACTGACGGAGACGACGACTCGAACAGACAAAAACCCTTCGCGCACGCCGACAGGGTCGACGGATTTATGCAGTTATCCTGCCCCCCCCTTCGGGTGATTCGGCCGCGCGCAGAGCGGGGGAGTGGGCAAGGCTTCTTTAGAAGCGCCCCTTCTCCTCAGAAGGCGCGGGACTGATCTGTAGATTTGGGGCCGGCGCCTTCGAGACAGACTCCTCCTGAGAAGTCTTCCACCCTCTCCCTGCCCCTGCCTCCTTTCAGGAGAGGAAAAAACACACAGACACAATTAATCGTCGATTCCCCAGAAAATGGGGGAAAATATGGGAAGTGGGGGGGAAGACAAAAACCCAGAAAATATAGGAAAATATAGGGGATCCTTTTATTTGTGTGTATTTATGTGTGTGTCCCAGGGCCCCGGCCTCCTCGTGTGCGCCGCCAGGTGATGCAGACGCACAGCGCCGACCTCCGCGCGAAGCCGCGCATGCACGACGCCTGCGAGCAGGACCTCAAGGCGCTATGCCCCAACGTTGCCCTCGGCGCAGGCAGAGCGCGCTCGCGGTCGTCGTCGTCGTCCGTCGTCCGTCGTCCGTCGTCCGTCGTCCGTCGTCCGTCGTCCGTCGTCGTCGTCGTCGTCGTCGTCGTCGTCGTCGTCGTCGTCGACGTCGCCCGTCGGCCGTCGTCCGTCGTCCGTCGTCCATCGTGCGTCGTCCGTCGTGCGTCGTCCGTCATCGTCGTCGTTGTCGAGGTCGTCGTCGGCGACGACGTCGGCGGCGTCGGCGGCGTCGGCAGCGTCGTGGTCGTCGTCGTCGGCGGCGGCGTCGTCGTCGTCGTCGCCGCCGATCGTCCGTCGTCCGTCGCCCTTCGTGAGTCGCCCGTCGCCGTCACTTGTCGCCGTCGTCGTCGTACCCGCCGCCGTCTCCGTCATCGTCCTCGTCATCGTTGTCGTAAGGACGAGGAGGCGCCGTCGTCTTCGGCGGCGACGCCGTCGTCGCCATTGTCGCCCTCGTCGCCGTCGTCGACTGTCGTCCGTCGTCCGCCGTCTGTTATCCGTCATCCGTCGTCCGTCGTCCGTCGGCCGTCAGCCGTCGTCCGTCGGCGGTCGTCCGTCGTCCGTCGTCCGTCGTCGTCCTCGTCGTCGTCGTCGTCGTCGTGTTGGTCGTCGTCGCCCGTCGTCCGTCGTCGCCTGTCGCCCGTCGCCCGTCGTCCGTCGTCCGTCGTCCGTCGTTGCCGCCGCAGCCGCCGCCGCCGCCGCCGCCGCCGCCGTCGTCGTCGTCGTCGTCGTCGTCGTCGTCGTCGTCGTCGGCGTCGTCGTCGTCCGTCGTCGTCGTCGTCGTCGTCGTCGTCGTCGTCGTCGTCGTCGTCGTCCGTCGTCGTCGTCGTCGTCGTCATCGTCGTCGTCCGTTGTTGTCGTCGTCTTCGTCTTCGTCGTCGTCGTCGTCGTCCGTCGTCGCTGTTACCACCGTCGTCGTCATCGTCTTCGTTGTCGTCGTCGCCATCGTCCGTCGTCGCCGTCGTCTTCGTCGTCGTCGTCGTTGGCGTCGCCGGCAGCGTCGGCGGCGTCGTCGTCGTCGTCGTCGCTGTCGTCGCCATCGTCGCCCTCGTCCACGTTGTCGTCGTCTGTCAGCCGTCGTCCGTCCTCCGTCCTCCGTCCTCCGTCCTCCGTCGTCCATCGTCCATCGTCGCCGTCGTCGTCGACGTCGTCGTCATCGTCGTGGTCGTCGCTTGTCGCCCGTCGCCCGTCGTCCGTCGTCCGTCGTCATCCGTCGTCCGTCGTCCGTCGTCGTCGTCGTCGCCGCCGTCGTCGTCGTCGCCTTCGTCGTCCGTCGTCGTCGTCCGTCGCCGTCTTCGCCGTCGTCGCCATCGTCACCCTGGTCGTCGTCGTCGGCGGCGGCGTCGTCGTCGGCGTCCGTCGTCGCCGTCGTCGTCGGCGGCGTCGGCGGCGTCAGCGGCGTCGGCATCGGCGTCGGCGGCGGCATCGTCGTTGTCGTCGCCGCCGGTCGTCCGCCGTCAGTCGCCCGTCGCCGGCTCTTGTCGTTGTTGTCGTTGCCGCCGGCGCCGTCTCCGTCACCGTCGTCATCATTTTTCTCGTCAGGACGAGCGGACGCCGTCGTCGTCGTCGTCGTCTTCGTCGTCGTCGTCCGTCGTCCGTCGTCCGTCGTCCGTCGTCCGTCGTCCGTCGTCCGTCGTCCGTCGCCGTCGTCCTCGTCCTCGTCCTCGTCCTCGTCAACGTCCGTCGTTCGTCGTCCGTCGTCCGTCGTTTCGTCGTCGTCCGTCGTCCGTCGTCCGTCGTCCGTGGTCCGTCGTCCGTCGTCCGTCGCCCGTCGCCTGTCGCCCGTCGTCCGTCGTCCGTCGTCCGTCGTCTGTCGTCCGTCGTCCGTCGTCCGTCGTCCGTCGTCCGTCGACCTTCGTCCGTCATCTGTTGTCCGTCGTCCGTCGTCATCGTCGTCGTCGTCCTCCGTCGTCCGTCATCTGTCGTCTGCGGCGTTGTCGTTGTCGTCGTCATCGTCGCTGGCGTCGTCGTCGTCGTTGTCCGTCGTTCGTCGTGCGTTGTCCGTCGTCCGTCGTCCGTCGTCCGGCGTCCGGCGTCCGTCGTCTGTTGTTCGTCGTCCATTGTCCGTTGCCGTCATCGTCCTCGTCATCGTCGTTATTGTAGCCATCGTCGCCGTCGTCGCCGTCGTCCGTCCTCCGTCGTCCGTCGTCCGTCGACCATCGTTCGTCGTTCGTTGTCGTCGTCGTCGTCCGTCGTCCAAGTCTGTCTTCCGTCGTCCGTCGTCGTCGTCATCGTCGTCTGTCGTCGTCGTCGTCCGTCGTCGTCGTCCTGGGCCGTCGTCGTCAGCGTCGTCGGCGTCGGCGTCGTCGTCGGCGTTTGCCTCGGCGTCGCCGCCGCCCGTCTTCCCGCGTGTGTCGACCGTCGCCGTCTCTCGTCGGTGTCGTCGTCGCCGCCGCCGCCGTCTCTGTCATCGTCGGCGTCGTCGTCGTCAGGACGTCGTCGCCGTCGCCGTCGTTGTCGTCGTCGTCGTCGTCCGTCGTCGGTCGTCGGTCGTCGGTCGTGCGTCGTCATTTGTCGCCGGTGTCGCCGTCGTCGCCGCCGCCGTTGCCGTCGCTCGGCGGCGAGCGAGGGGGGGAAGTGAGAAGGAGAAGGCATTCTCGGGAAGGCGGCGGGGCTTCTCAGGAAATCCTCGCGCCGTCTGAGAGGTCTTCCTCTTCCTCGGGGAAGGCTCAGAGAGCTTCTCAGGAGGCCGGGGGACTTCCGAGCCTTCTGAGCTGGCCCACCCCGTCTCGTTTCCCCCTGGGGTCGCCGCCAAGTCTCCGTCGTCGTTGCCGTCAGGACGAGGGGGCGCCGCCGTCGTCGTCGTCGTCGTCGTCGTCGTCGTCGTCGTCCTTCGTCGTCATCGTCGTCGTCGTCGTCGTCAGGGCGAGGAGGCGCGAAGGAGATCGAGCTCCTGTTGGACGTCGGACCTCTTGGGGCGCCTCCCGTCGTCGGCGCCCGCTGCCGCCGCAGGCCGCGGGCACGAGTGCCTGCGGGGGAAGCTCGGCCAGATCCGGAGCGACGAGTGCAAGAAGCTGGCGACCCGAGAGTTCCTCCCGCCCTCGTGGTCCTGGCTGCTGTCGGATGGCCGCCTCTCCCCCCTCCGCCCTCCCCTGTGCAAAGCTCTCCTTCGCTGCCGCCTGCGCCTCCCGCCCCCTATCCCACCTTCCTCGGGGGAAAACAAACCTACCTCGCTTTTGACCACCCTCGCTTCCAAGAGATACCGAACGATGCCAAATTGCGGCCTGTACTGGTCAGGCCGCTTGACGAGGAGGCGCGTGGTATGGCTTGGTTTTGCCTGGAAGCGAAAGCGGGGGAGGTAATTCACGCTCTGACTTCCTCCCACCTGCTCTTCCTCCTCCACCTCCTACCCTCGCCGTGGGGGAAGCCGGTCCTGAGGGAAACGGATCCTGAGGTTTTTCGCCGTCTTCGGGCTCTCGGGGCCCTCCACGGGCCCCGGAACTGTCAGAGAACGGCTGAAGGTGAAGATCTCGTCTTGGGGGAGGCCCCAGGATCCAGGACCCGATTCCCTCCTGCTAATACCCCCACCTCCCTTGCCTTCTCACCCAATCGTCGCGCGTCTGCAGCCGCGTCTTCGAATCCCTCGTCCGTCCCTTCCCTGCCACAGCGCCAGAGTGGCCTGGGAAGGTATCGGTCTGCCAGGTCGGGTCAGATGCGTGTAGTCCACCTGGCTCTCGGTGAACGTCGGCATGACGCCTTCTTGCGCTGTTCGCAACCTAGAAAAACCTTTTCCTTCCTTCTCCCTCCTCTCTTGCCTTCTGCCCATCTCGCCCCCCCCCCCCCCTGGCCTCTCCACACACATTGTGAACACTCTCCCCTCTCCCCTGACGGTCCAGAAGATCTGTGATATGCCGCCATCGCCGCGCATTGTTCCTTACGCAGGACTCGACGAATCTAGTTTCCCGCTTTTGTTTTACAATCCGATTTTGTGGGGGTTCCACAATGGCGTTCCGGCTGCAGCGTGGGCATCGGATCGGTGTTTTGCTCCCGTCGTTCAGAACGGCGTTCTTGCCCTGGTGCAGGTTTTTTCTGCATCCGATTTTGTCAGTGTCGCCCACTGCTTTCCCCTCCTCCGCCCATCCCCTCGTCCTCCTGCTCCTCCCGCTCCTTCCACTCCGGTTCCCGCTGCTGCTGTTCGTCATCGTTCTCCTTCTTCGTCCTCCTCCTTTTCCTTCTGCTCACCTCCCCCTTTCCGATTGCGCATAACACGATGGGGGGTCGTTTGGGGAGTTCCAGGTCTGCTGCGACACACGGCCGCGGGTAGAGAAATAATCAGCACAATCGGAAGATATGGATGGGAGGGCAGGATGTCAGACGTGGCGCGCACCTAGCGTGTCTCCCTCCTCTCTCCCCTCCCCCCTCTTTCCCGCGACCCCATTCCATTCTCATCTCCTCCGCCCTCCCCTCCCTAGAGCCTCTCCTGCAGCGCCTCTCTCGCCAGATCCGTCGAGGGGGAGGCCTTGCCGAGTCGACGACAGTTCCCCCGTGAGTGGTCTGACAAGACGCACCCCGCCCTCCTTCTCCTTCCCCCCTCCCCATCCTCCCTTCCCCTCCCCCCTTCCTCCTCCTCTTCCCTTGCCCTCCCTCTCCCCTCCTCATCCTCATCCCTCCTCCCCCGATCCTCCTCCCTCCTCTCCCCTCCCTCCCCCTCTCCTGCGCCCCTTCCTCCTCCTCCCTCCTCCCCCCCATGGAGACTGTGCGGCTCTGGAGTCGGCACAGGCCCACTCAGCTTGGCAAGACGTGCTGGGCTTGGCCAACCATCGCCTCTTTCTTTGTGCTTTCTCTCTGAGCATTCTGGTCTTGTACAGGAGCCAACGTTACCCACCGAGACTTGCACGGGCCCATTCCAACCTTGAGCGACGGACGGGGCTAGGACGAGGATGAATCCGTTCCAGAACGCTCTGAGAAGGCCGCGGCGCCTGAGACATCCCCCAGAGCCGCCGGATCTCAGAGGTTCCCGATTTATCCTCACCCCATCTTATCCTCGTCTTGGCTTCGTCTTACTCCTCCCAGCCCCCCCGTTCGAAGAAGAGCACGGCGCCAGGACACGCAAACGTCTGGGGGCCGCCGCGCGGGTGTCCCGGGTCGGCGGATCGGTGCTAGCACCCCACCCCCCCTGGGAGTGCGCGCGCCTCCTTCCTGCCTCGCTCCCGTCCGCGCTTCCGCGCGCCAGGGAGGAGGTTCCATCGGGGGGGTCAGGGCGTCCGGCGCTCCCCCCCAAAATCAAATCGAGCGGTCGTTTTCTGGACCGCTTGTGCCTGCAGTGGCCCTCTCCGGGCCTTGGTGGCGTCAGGAAACGACTCCGGGCGAAGAACCGGCCCTGGGGAAGTGGTCCAGACCTCCGGGGCCCACGCTTCCAGGAAATTCGAGCAGCCGGATGTCTGGGGATGGGCATACCCATCGGTCGTTGAAAGTAGGTATTTTTGGATTCCCAGATTTCAATCTACTTTCAGCGCCTTCCTACTTCAAGCAAGAGTCGAGTGGTTTTCCCTCTTCCTCCCTCTTCAGGAGGCGTGCGGAAACCCAATCTATTTCCAACGCCTTCCTACTTCATGTTTCTACCTACTTCTTCCGACCGATGGGTAGGGGGGGGCACGCATCGACCGCCAATCGTCCATTCATCGCCGATGGGGGCCCGACAGCCCCACCCCGCCCAGGAACGTGGGGATCCCACAATCGGAGGCCTATCGCCGATCCATCGGCGATGTATCGCCGATTCCAGGTCGATGTCCCCCCTCCCTATGCCAGTCCCCCCCCCTATCGTTGCCCCTCAGTCCAGCGCCGATCCCAGCCATGCGCGCGGACCTTCGAAGGTTTTTGTTTTTCCTTGACGCTTCGCGTCACCCCACCATTTCTTCTGACACTGGGCACGGCGATGTGATGTCCACCTGTGACTGGACCCTGTCGGCCCGCCGGCGAGCACATGGTTCTCCGTGAGTGAGACCACCCGCGTTTCCCCCCCTCCTTCGTTCTTCCGTCGCCCCGCTCCTCCTCCCTCGCCGTGTTCCCGTCGCCCGGCTCGGCGCCTGGCGTCCCTGTGCGGGTGCAACGTCGCCACGCGCAGTTCGTCTGCTCGTTTTCCCCAATTTGTTCTGCATGTGCACACATTATCTGGCTCTGTACCCCAGTTTGCCTGATTGACACGCCCTCTGGACTTCTCCTTGCGGGCCGCCGAACAAAAAAATAAACCCACCATGCCCATCCAGAGGCGATGCCAAGAGGAGTCGCTTCGATCAGGGAAGTGGGCAGCACATAGAGGAAGGGTCTCTCGTGGGGCACTCTTGGGTGCCTCGGGCAGCCTCTTGGAGCCTCTTGGGGGTCTCTGGGGAGCCTCTTGGAGGCCTCTTGGGCGCCTCTTGTGGCCTCATGGGCGCCTCTGGGGGCCCTCTTGAGGCGGTGTTGGGAGCCTTGGGAGCGCTCTTGGGGCCATCTTGGAAGAGCTCGGGCAAAGAAGGGGCGGTGCTTAATTTGCTTCCCACCTCGGAGGCCCCAAACATCGCCTCTTGGGCCAGTCTTGGAGCTCTTGGGGCGCTCTGGGGTGTTCTTGGGGCCATCTTGGGGCTCTCTTGGGCCTCCCTTGGGGCTCTCTTGGGCCCTCTTGGAGCTGCCTTGAGGCCTCGGAAGGCTATCAGAAGCGAAATGGCGAGAATGTTCAATTCATTGATTTTCCTTCGGTGTTTGAAGGATGTTGGCCTCTTGGCGGCCTCCAGGGGAGGCTCCGTGGCCACTCGGAGTCGTCTTGGAGTGGTCTGGGGCCTCTAGGGGCATCTTGTTAGCCATCTGGAGCCATCTTAGGCTCTCTTGAGCCATCTTGGAGGTCATCTTGGGCTTTCTGAGGCCCTATTGGCCCATTGGAACCATCTTTGGCCATCTTGGACGCTCCAACGCCTCGCGACCCCCCTCCAGGTCCAGGGCACGGGGCAGGGGGAAGCCTAAATTGCTCCCCGAAGGGAAAGAATGGGGTTGGAAGAGAAACCGCTCTAGACCACCTACGCCCAGAGGCCTGGTGGGATTCAGTGTGATTTCCCCCCGCATTGCTGTCGTAATGTCGCTGTCGTCGCCGTCTGCGTCCGTCGTCGTCGTCGTCGTCGATGCTTGTGGTGGCCGCCTGTTTCCCTTATGCGCGGACCCCGAGCCCCTTCATCGGAGCATGAAGGGCCGGTTTAAGATCCCAGAGTCCACACCCCACCTTTCCCTCTCTGCTTCTCTTTCTCGCGTGCGTGGTCAAAACCTGTGCGTGGTCAAAACCTGGCATCATCCTTCATCGTCCCACTTAATCCTACATGTCCCGAGAAGTCTGGCTTCATCCTAGGCCGAATCTTATTTAATGCCCCCCAATACCGTTCTTACGGAGACCTCTCAGAAGTTGCCTCCTGACCTCCTGTGTTCCTCCTCCTCCTTCACCGCCCCCCGAGGTGATGGCCGTTCAGCTGGCCGACAACTCAAGCGCCACTATCAACTACGGCGTCCGCACGCGTTGCGCCAACGAGGTCAGGATGTTCTGTCCCGACGTGACGCCCGGCGAGTCCAGGGCGACGGCGTGCTTCTCTTTCTTCTTCATCCAAAGGAGGGAGGAGGAGGAGGAGGAGGAGGAGGAGGAGGAGGAGGAGGAGGAGGAGAAGGAGGAGGAGGAGGAGGAGGAGGAGGAGGAGGAGGAGGAGGGAGAGGAGGAGGACTAGCCGCATTGGCTCTGGCTCGCATCGCTGGCCGGGGCGTCGTCGTCGTCTTCTCGTCGTCGCCGCCTTTCTCGCTGCCGGCCATGCCGCAGCGCGGCGCTGCCTGCGAGGCGGCCCGCGGCGTCTTGGTGGCGGCGCGACGCTGCTGCTGGGCTCTGCGCCAGCGAGAGCCGTGACGCTCTCCGCCTGGTGCGCGTGGCCGAGGGCCGCCTGCGGATCGCTGTGGCCGCCCTCAGCGTCCCTGCGGCGCCTTCTCCTCCTCCGCCTGCGCAGGACGCGGCGCCGGTGGCGGCCCGCCCTCGGCGGCGGCGGCGGCGCGGGCGCGGAGGCGGTGGAGGTGCGCGCATGGACTTGCCTCTCCCGCTGCGGCTGGGGCAGGGCTTGAGGTGCGCCTTGCGCGATGCATGGGGTGCGAGGGTGGCGGGGTCGCCTCGGATGGGCCGGAGCTCGATGCCGACAGCTGGGCTGACAGTGCGCCCACGGGGGTGCGCCGCAGTCAAGATTCGGCTTCAGCTGGTGCTCGCGCGGGGCGCGACGCGGGCACCTTGCAGAGTCTCGGCCGTGCTGAGCTCACTGGGAAGCTCGCCAGTTTGCACTTGCAGTGCGCATGGCCCGACCCATCGTCGCCTCTCGGGCCTTCGGTGGAGTTCCCTGTGGGGCCACGAAGCGCTGCATTGGGCTGCGCGGGCGCATGCGAACGCGGCCATTGGGGCCTTCGGTGGAGCTCTCCATGGGGCCACGAAGCGCTGCACTGGGTATGGGAGACGCATGCGGCCGCGGCCACTGGGGCCTCCGGTGGAGCTCCCTACGAGGCCACGAAACGCAGCACTGGGTGGCGCGGACGCACGCGAACGCGGCCCCTGGGGCATCCAGTGGAGTTCCCCATGGGACCACGAAGCGTACAGGGTGGCGCGGACAGATGCGAACGCATGCGAACGCGGCCGCTGGGGCCTTCGGTGGAGCTCCCTATGGGGCCACGAAGTGCTGTACTGGGCGGCGCGGACGCATGCGGCCGCGGCCTCCAGGGCCTTCAGTGGAGCTTGCTGTGGGTTCATGAAGCGTGTGAGGGGTGTGCCGAAGTGGGCGCGCGGGGAGCAGAGGCAGGGGTGGGAGGAGGGAGGAGACGGGGGAGGAGGAGACGAGAGGAGAGGAGAGGAGACATGGGGCGCTGTCCTTTCAAAACAGAGGCCCACCACCACAGGATGGCTGGGAAGTGTCTGAGTCGATCCCGTCCCCCTACCTCCCCCCTTGCCCTCGGAATCAGCAAGGCCGAGAACGCCTCGATTCTCCGCTCCTTCTCCCCCGCTGAAAGGAGAAGGAGGAGGAGGAGGAGGAGGATGGGGAGAAGGAAGGAAGAGGATGGAGAAAATATTGAGGGGGCCTTCTCCCTCGTCTTTCTCCTCCTCCTCCTCCTCCGTCTCTTTCTCTTCCCCGTCGCCCTTGGCTCCTTCCCCCCCCCTTCCCTTCCTCCCCATCCTCCTCCTCCTCCTCCTCCTCCTCCATCTCCTTTCCTCCCGTTCCCATTATCCTCCCTTACTGGTCCCTCCTCCCTCGTCGTCGTCGTCGTCGTCGTCCGTCCTTCGTCGTCCGTTTATCGTCCGTCTTCCCGTCGTCTGTTCTTCCTTGGCCGCTGGTGGTCGTGTCCGTCGTACTCGCCGCCGTCGCCGTCGCCGACGTTGTCGGAAGTCATCGTAGTTTTCGGCACTTTTCGGTGGCTCCCGATGTTTTCGGAGCAGTTTCCCACCCGTCGTGGTTTGCCCAAGAGAGGTGATGCTGTGCCTAGGGATCCACTCGAACGAGACAGGATTCGGCGATGACTGCAAGAGGGAGTTGGCCAAGGTTCAGATCGACAGCATGATCAAGAGGATCCTGTGCATCGTCGCCCTTTGTCCGTCGTCGTCGGAGACTCGAGGATCAAGGATATGTACACATATGTGTGTGTGTGGGTCTATATGCATTCTCCACGTATACCTACTTAATCGGGTTTGATGGTTCGCTTCGCTTCGCCTCAACTCTTGCTGGGTAGTCGAAGGCCAGACTGTCAGATTGGATTGGGCCCCAAGGGCCAATCTGGCCCGGCCAAACTGGATGATTTGGGTTATTCGCCAGGCTGGATTCGCGTTGGCTCCCTCGCCAGATTGCCCCCGTTTGCCAGGTTGGGCCTGCCAGATTGGCGCCAGATTGGCTTCAGTCTTGGTCCTGCGTCCGTGTGCCTTCGGGCACCTGTGGAAGGAGAGAGAGGTGAGGCGCTGGTAAAAGCAGGGCGGGGGGGGCGCAGAACGGAGAAGTTGGGGGCCCCGAGGTCGGGCTGGGCAAACGGCGGGTCCGAGGGCGGAAGCATTGGGAAGGGCTTCGATGCAGGCTGGCCGGGACGATCCTATCTCGCAGGCCTAGAGGTTGACACCAACACCAATATCGGCGGTGTGCCTCCATCGAGGGGAAGAAGATCCCGATCTCGGTGATGGTGGTAATATTCTGGCTTCCAAGGTGGCCGAAATATTGCCACCAACACTGAAATCTAGGATCATCTTCCCCCTGTGGAGGCAACCCCCTGTGTTGGTGTTGGTGCCCATTTCCAGGCCTCCGACTATCTCCTCATCTCCCGAAGAACGTGCGAGGGCGGGGAAAGATCATGACCGCGAGGGGGTGAAGGTCAATGGTTTCGAGAGGGGCTACAGTTATGAACGTGGAGGTGGTTGAGGGCATGGCCGCGGCAACGATTCAAGTCATGACCTCGACGCGGCTGACGCTAATCAGGAAGGGGCGGTCACGGTGATGATTTTGCCATGTGGGGGCGATGGTGGTCACTGTGAGTGGGATTTTGGTCAAGATGGTGTGGGGGTACAGGTATACAACGTGAGTAGGGTGAACGTCATGTCGGGCTAACTTCCCATAGGTTGCTGGAGAAATTGTTGGCCCCTCGACGAGAGGCAGCTGCCGGTGAGATGTCGGAAGGGCAGCGGCAGGTCTTGCACACCATCCCTCCTCGGAGAGGTCGTCGGCCCATAACTCAATCCGCAGGCGCCTGTTCGGGACGATCCAGGCACCCCAGAAAGTGACTCGGCGAGACAAAATATCGCATGAACCAGGATCCATAATGCCGTTTCAGGCACTTGCCCGAAAGAGCTCATGGCGCCGCCCGCTCTGGAGACCCTTGGCTTTGAGCGTTTCTGTTGACTTTGAAGCTGCGTCCGTCACTGTGCCGTCTTGGGGCCATGGGTGGCTTGTTTAAAAAGTCCTTCGAGGCATATTGGGAACCTCTTGGGTCTCTTGGGAGCTTTATGGGCTATCTTGGGGACCCCTCGGAGGCCTCCAGGGCGTCTTGGGGGCCTCTTGGACCATATTAGGGCGGGGCCCTCGTTGGCCGTCTTGCGGCCCTCTCGGGCCGTCTGAAGGTCCTCTGGGGCCGTCTTGGGAGCTTCCTGGGTTTTCTTGAGGCCCTTTCGGACGCCTTCTTGGGGCCCTCTCGAGCCGTCTTGGGGCCCTCTTGGGTCGTGTTCGGGCGCTCTTGGAGGCCCCTTGGGCAGTCTGGGGGCGGTCTCGACAGCCCTTTGGGGCGTCTTGGGCTGTCGGAAAAAGACGAGAGCGCCAGACTAGCTGAAAATTGTCAGGACCTCGATGAATGTCGCCTCTCGAGGCTGGGTTGTGGCCACCCTGGCTGGTGCCATTTGGGAGTCGTTTTTGGGCGCCCGGGGCGGGGTGGGGTGGTCCAAGGAATTTTGTGTGTGGGGGCCATCCAAGGGTGGATCCACGCAGGATGTTTATTAATCGGAATGTACACATGATTACATATGTATGTCTATCTCGTTTGTGGCCTTTCTTAGGCCTGATCAGGCCTCTGTGGACCTGCAGAAACTTTGGAGATCGCTGAGGCCTTACGGCTGGTGCCGCCGACCCTGAAGATGAGGACGCTGACCACGACGAGGTAGAAGGAGGAGAAGTAATGAGGAGGAGGAGGAGGGTGAGGAGGATGGGGAGGAGGAGGTGGATGCAGAGGTTCATGGGAGGTGGGGGGAATGGAGGGCGGTTAGTTGTGAGGGGGGGGGAGACTCGGGGGTGGTAGTGGTGCCCGCTGATGTTGCCGGGGAAAGGACGTGGTCTAGGGAGGGTCTCTTGGGACATTCTTGGCTCGTCCAGGGGCTTTGCTGGGCCGCTGGATTCCCAGGGGGGGCATCTGACCCGGGACCCCCCCCGGGACACCCCCCCCCGCGGGGAAGGGATGGAAGGGAAGGGGCTTCCGTTCGACTCACTGATGACGTGGCTCAATGTTGTGAGTACGACGTTGCTCAACCTCCTTTTGCTTCGCCACCTGAGGGGGAGGCCTGGGAAAGGGGAAGGAGCGACGACGACGACGAAGAGGGGGCAGACAGGAACGCCTCAGAGGGGGCAGAGCGAAAAGCCTTTTCCACACGCCGACACAGGGTCGGCGGATTTCGGAGATCTCCAGAGACCTCCGGTCGTCTCCGCCGTCGTCCGTGGTCCGTCGCCCGTTGGCCGCTGGCCGTCGTCGTCGTCTTTCCTCGTCCTTTGTCGTCGCCGTCGCCGTCTTCGTCAATCGAATGTCGTCCGTCGGATGTGCTCCCGGGTGCTCGCCACCTCGCGAGCACCCGCCAGAGGTCTTCTGCAGGCCCGTGTGGCGGCCCGCGAGTTCCCGTCGTCGGGGCCGTTTCGGGCGCGGGCTCCCCCGGAGGTCCCGCCTCGGCGGCAGCGGATCCGAGCTTGCTGGCCGCTTTGAGGCCAAGGCGCTGCCCGCGTGTGGGCCTGCTGCCCACGCGGTTGTGCGAGTGGCCGGCGGCGCGATCACCGCAGCGCGGTCTGTCTCCCGAGTTGAAGGCCTCCCGATTCCTTTCCCGAGATCGCTCCAAATACGATGGGCCCCCTCCTCATGGTGCTCCCCCTCCCCTTCCTCCCCCCCTCCTCCTCGCCCTCCTCCTCCTCGCCCTCCTCCTCCTCCTCCTCCTCCTCCTCCTCCTCCTCCTCCTGCCCCTCTCCCATCGTCCTCCTCCTTCCCCTCTTTCATCGTCATCCTCCTTCCCCTTCCCCCCATATCCTTCTTCAGGCGAGGGTCAGACTTTGACCACAGGACCGCAGCGCTGTCTCCTCCTGCTCCCGACTGCTCCCCCTCCTCTTCCCGCTCCTCCCATTCCGTCTCCTCCTCCTCCTCCTCCTCCTCCTCCTCCTCCTTCTCCTCTTCCTTCTCCCCCCTCTCCTTCTCCTCCTCGTCCTCGAGTTCCGGCCAATGGACTTGGCGCTTCAGGTGGTGTCCAGGTCCCAGCGGGGCCGGCCGACCGGCTCGTCGCCCGCAGATCGCTCGCGTCTTCTTGATCCTCCTCTCCCCCCCTCGTCCTCCTCGTCCAAGACGGCCCGAGAGGCCCCGAAGCAGCCTCCGATTTTCGCTTTTCGCTTCTCGCGGCATGCCCGGTCACGCGCCCCACTACCCCCCGGAGGCCCGCGCGCGGGCGCGGGGGGGGGGGGGAGCGCGGGCCGGCGCGCCCTCATCAGCAGCCCAATCGGTGGCGGGGCCGGGCGGGGTGCGGGGGGGGGGGGCGGGGCGGGGCTGCTGACCCCAAGGCGCTGCAACGGGGGGCACGCGGGGCCGGCCTTTCACGGCCCGCTACCTCCAGGAGGCCCAAGCCATTGATTCCTCTCGCTTCGCGGGGTACACGTCCGGAGCACGTACAGTCACGTCGTCGCGGGGCCTCTTAGGGGGCCTTTTGGGGGCCTCCTGGAGGCCTCCTGGGAGTTTCTTTTGGCCTTTTGGGGGTTTCTTTGGGGGCTTTCCCCCCTCCCTCCTTTTCATACACCCTCCCCATCTTCCCTTCCATCGCCGGCTCCAATCATGGGCGCCGCAGTGACCAACTTCCACGCGGCTGGCGCTGCGCCGCAGTTCGCCCAAAGGGGGGGAAATTACATTACACACCAGTCGCTGTGTGGCCTTTGGGGGGCTTGTTGGAGGCCTTTTGGAGGCTTCTGGGGGACTTCTTGGAGGCTTGTTGGGGGCCTCTTGGGGCCTCTTGGGGGCGTCTTGGGCCGTCTTGGGGCGCTTTTGCGCCGTTTCGCCCCCTCGGAGGCTGTCTTGGGGGCCTCTCGCGGCCGCATTGGAGCCCTCTTGTGGTCCTCTTGGGCCGTCTTCGCTGCCTCTTGGACCGTCTTGGGGGCCTCTTTGGGTTGTTTTGTGGCCCTCTTTGGCCGTCTTGGGGCCCTCTTGGGGATTTGTTGGGCTGTTCTGGGGCGATTCTGGAAGCTGCTTGGGTCGTCGTGGATTATTGAATGCCGAAAAAGACGAGAACGCTAAAATGTTGCAAGAACCATCGGACAATCAATGGTTTCGGCCTCTGGAGGCGCAGTTATGGGCGCTCTTGGGCCCTGCTGGGCCGTCCTTGGAGCTTTTGGGGCCCTCTTGGGGCCGTCTTGGGGGCCTCATGGGCCCCCGTTGGGAATATCTTGGGCCGTCTTGGGCCGTCTTAGGGCCATCTTGGGCCATCTTGAGGCCCTCTTGGAACCCCAAGAGGCCCAAGAGGCGGATTTTTTTCATAAGTTTTTGTAGGTTTTTAGGGTCCCAGAAGGGGGGGATCATTTTGGTCCGGCGGTGCGGCGCAGCTCCCAGGGGGGGGGTTAGGGGGGGAGACGTAATAATGTAACACAATACGATCTGTTGCAATTCTGGAATCTTTGGATACATTGGATACGTTGCATTAAGGCGTTCGCCGAAAAACGCTGCCGCTCAGCACGTCACCTCCGGACGTGGATTCCCGAACTGCGACGTCTGCAAGGTAGCCCCGCGGCCGCGAAGCACGAAGTACCTGGCGGCGAACAGGCCGTCGTGGACGTGCCCGGCGTGCCCGCGGGTCGGTCAGTGCGCGGTCTGTGGCGCCCCGTCACCAGACGCGGCCAAAACTGGTCGGCGTTCTCTGAACTGGGAAGGGCCGAGGTACACGTGCGACGCGTGCTTCTGGCCGCCATGCAGCGCGTGCAAGAAAACGCCGCGGCCGCACGACCGCTGGTGGACAGTTCGCGCTGCCCCGGACTGGAAGTGCGCAGATTGCGCGAAGACGCGCGAGCGAGGGAAGAGGTGCGCGTAGTCTAAAGATATCGCTCCACCTGCCACCTGCCGCTATCATCAGGGACGTCGTCGTCATCGTGTCTAATTGCGGGAAGAGGCCCGCCTGCGCCCCCGTCGCATGTGTCATCCTCTCGGTGGCAATTTTGGAGGCAGTTTGGGCCGCCATGCCTCCCTCTTGGGGACTTCTTGAGGCCCCTTGGGGGCCTATTTGGGGCATCTTGGGGCCTCTTGGGGGCGTCCTGGCCCGTCTTGGGGCGCTCTTCCGCCGTTTCGCCCCTTCGGAGACCGTCTTGGGGGCTTCCCACGGCCGCCTCGGGGCATTCTTGGGATTTTTTTGGCCGTTCTAGGGGCCTCTTGGACCGTCTTGGGGGTTTCTTTGGCCCGTATTGGGGCCCTCTCGGGCCGTCTTGGGGCCCTTTGGAAGGCTTCTTGGGGTTTCTTGGGGTGCTTTTGGAGGGTGCTTGGGCCGTCATTGGCTTGTCAGCGTCGAGAAAGGCGAGAACGCGAAAATATTCCCAAAACCATAGGAAAATCAATCATTTTGGCTTCTGGAGGCGCTCTTGGGGGGTCCTCTTTGGACCCTCTTGCGGCGTCTTGTGAGCTTTTGGGCTCTCTCGGGGCCATCTTGGGTCGTCTTGAGGCCGTTTTGAGACTCTCTTCGGCCGCCTTGAAGCCATCTTGAGCCGTCTTGACGCCCCTTGTGGGCTCCGAGGAGGGCCCAGAGGCCGAAATCAATGATTTCCATAGGTTTTTGTAGGTTGTTGAATTAGTGCACGAAAGGGGTCGGCGACTCGGCGGCGGCCCTGGGGGGGATTAAGGGGGGAGACGTAATAATGTAACACCATACAATATGTGGCAATTCTGCAATCATTGGAAACATTGGATACGTTGCATCAGGGCTTCCGCTCCGCTGCGCGACCTGCCTCCGGCAGGAGGCCCAAGCCATTGATTCTTGGGCTTACGCCGCACCGCCGACCCCTCGGGGGCTCCTGGTAGGTCTCTCGGGGGCCTCCTGGCAGAACTTTTGAGGCCTTTGGGGGGCCGTTCTGGAGCCTCGTAGGGCCTCTGGTGGGCCTTTTGGAGCCTCTCGGGGGCTTCTTGGGGGCCTCTTGGGGCCTCTTGGAGGCTTCTTGGGGCCGAGGGCTCGAAAGTTCCGTTCGGGTCCCCCGCCTGGGCCCCCTCCTGGAGTTGTCTTGGGGGCCTCTTGGGCCGTCTTGGGGCCCTCTTGGGCCGTCTTGGAGCCTTCTTGGGGGTTTCCTGGGCCGTCTTGGACGTTGTGAAAGCCCGAGGGGCGAATCTGCTAAAATCATACGTTTCCCGACGGGAATGGGACGATTTTTGCTTCTGGGGGCCCTCTTGGGACGCCTCTTGGGGGCCTCTTGGGGCATTTCGGGTGCTTCTTGGGCCGTCTGGAGGCCATCTTGGGCGTCTTGGAACGATCCATCGGCGACTCGGGGTCCTCTTGGACCATCTCGTGGGCCTCTTGGGGCCCTCGTGTCCCGTCGTGAGGCCCGTGACGCGTTTAGCCCGGGGCCGGCCGGACCCCCCCCTCCAAAATGACCGGACCGGGCCCCGGGGGCAGGGGTTCGGGGAGGGGGGAGCATCTCACACGCCGATGACCCCAAGGGATCGGCGGATTTTCTGTGTTCTGTTCCATGATTTTAGCGTTATCGCCTTTTCGGGTTTCCGACGTTCCAAGACGGCCCCATGAGGGCCCCAAGACGGCCTGCGAGGTCCCCAAGAGGCCTCTCAACCTTTGTGGAAGACAACCATGGGAGAGGAGGCATGTTGCCCAATAGCGTCGAGATGCTCAAAGCAACGTGTTTCACATGCCGAAGAGATGCAAGAACATGCTAAAATCATGTTCAGCGCGTGCTGGAGTACATCGACGGCTGCGACGCAGTGATCGTGCTGTTCGCGTGCCCAGTGCCATGGCGTCCACGGCTCTGCCCTTCTCCCATCCCCCCCCCCCCCCGGCCGAGGGTCGGCCCGGGCAGCCCCCGTCTCCCGGGCAGGCTGCGCGGCCACGGCGGCCACGGGAAGGCGCCCCTCGACAAGCGCATCGAGGAGCTCAGGAGCCGGGCCAGCCGCTCGCCTACCAGATCGGGGGCCTTGAGACGGGGGTCAATGCAAACGGAGGTCAGCCACGGCGCCGGATCCTGCAGGATCCTGCGAAGACCCCCTCTGGCTGGCCCGGGTTAGGGAGCCGTTCGTGGCCGCGAGGCGGCCGCGCCTATTGGCTGACCCGGGTTTGCGAGGACCTGCGTTGCAGTTTGTTTTTCTTGCATTGCAGTTTTTGGTTTCCTGCTGACCCGGGTCTGGATTGACCCGGGTCAGAAGATCCCCGACCAGAGAGCCGAGGCTATGTGATCTGCTCAAGCCGGCGGTCTCTCCTGGATGCCGGCCTCCAGGGGGCCCGTTGTCGGGCCCGGGGGCCCTCGGAAGTGGATCCGGGACGAAAGACCACCCCCGGGGAAGGGGTCGAGGCCTCTATGGGGCCGCGGGTTGAGCAAATCATAGCGGCGGATGTCTGGGTCTGCCGCCGACGACGAAGTTCCCCCAGGTCTTCGCTGGTTCTCGGAGGCTTTCTCGCCCTGGGATGCTCTCCCGCTAGGCGCGCCTCGCCGGGAGCGTTCCAGGGGTGCCCGAATCATCAAGAGCGTTGGACCCCCCCTGGCGGCACCTCCAGCGCCGCGCCTGGCGCGCCCCGCGCGCCAGGGAGGGGGATCCCGCGCCGATCCAAGAGATCCGCGCGGAGCTCTCCGTTCTATGCGCCCTCTGCCTCCCCCCCTTCGTTCGCGCACATGCCTCGGCCCATGATTCCCAGGCCTCCCAAATGGGGTCCGAGTAGACGGGGTCGGAGGATCGCGCCACATCGCCGATGCAACGGCGATATGCGGCTCGATGTAGAGTCCGTTTTTTTGTACGCCGACGGCGGCGACGCATTGCCGACGTCGCCGATGCACCGGCGATGCACCGGCGATGCTGCGCGATCCTCCCACCCCATCTACTCGGACCCCATCTGGGAGGCCTCCAGTGATGCGCCAACCCTCGTCTTCCTGGTCCTTCCCCCTTCGACGCACCTGACTGGATGCATTCCCTGTGCCCGAGGAAGTGGCTGCAGAGACACCAGGGCTTCGCCGAGGAGCATGGGGTCATCCTCCTCAGCGGCACGGTCGGGTTCGTGGCCGTCTTGACCGCTTGGACCTCGGGGCTGAGAGGGAGGGAGAGGAAGCGTTGTGCCTCCGAGGGGGAGAAGGGGGGAAATACGGGGGAAAAGAAGGTGGGCGGTCCTCACGCGCGAATGCAATACTCGTCAAATGTATGCTGAATACGTTCTGGTACGGTTTCGAACCAATGCGACATAGTATGGCAAGACATCGCAATAAGGGGTTGGGAGGGAGGGATGCAGATAATATGTGCGGCTCTGGCTTCGACGAGTGTTCTTCGGCGGTGACGTGGCGGGAGAAAGAGGCGGGGAAAAGGGAGAAGGGAGGAGGATCAGAGAAACATACCGCTGCCGGTCCATGGTCGCCACGGCCAGAGTTTCTTCGAAATCCTTGTCAGAACGCGCCCTAAGCGAGGTCCAGGGAGTAGCAGCAACAGTATCGGTATCTAGTGGCCTTGGCACATCCCACCACCGTGTTTGGGTCTTGGACCAGGCCTCGTGGATGCATGTAAGGATCTCTTGGAATGCCTCTCGCGGGCCTTTCGGATGCCTCTTGGGAGGGCCTCCTGGATGCCTCTTGGGGGCCTCCTGTCAGCCTCTGGGGGGTTCTTGGGGACCTTCTGGGGGCCATCTTGGGGCGAAGGGCTCGAAACGTCAGTTCCTGTGCCCCCTCCTGGGGCCTTTCTTCGGGCCCTCTTGGGCCGTCTTGGGGGCCCCAGGAGTTCTGCAGTAGCCCCGCAGCATGTCAAAACCGAAACGGCCTTCCACGGACTGCTTGATCCAGACGAAACGGACCTCTACGGATCGTTTGACCGCAGGCAGTGGGGCCCAAGCGGACGCCCCGCCAGAGCGGGGCAACCCGGGAACATAGATGGGACGAGGCGCCTGTGGCTTCCCAGATGATCACGACGCTTACGCCATCCTGCCGCCCCCTCAAAGAGGATATGTGCGGCGCCCGGTGTCGTGCGTGCTGCTTGTCAATGCGCGTCGTGCTGCGTGCGTGTAAATTCTTGCTGATTCGTCCTCCTCTGGATCCACTTCTGTTGCGGGGCTTTAGGGGCTCCTTGGAGTTGTGGTGCGTTCTCAAGGCTCCCAGGAGCCTGGGGGGCCTCTGATGCTTGTTGGGGGCCTCTTGCGGTCGCGTTGGGAATCTTGGAGGCCATCTTGTGTGCGGGAGGGCTCACAGGGCCCTGGCGAATTCCCCTCTTGGGCCTCGCTTGGGCCCCTCTTGGGGCATCTTGATGTTTTTGCTGCCGCCCGAGGAAGCCCTTGAGCCGTCTCTGGGCTCTATTAGGGGGCCTGGGCCGTCTTGGGCCAGTCTTTGGGGGCTCTCGCGGCAGACGTGCTAGAAGAGGCGAAAACGCGAGAATCGCTCAAAAGCTACAGAAACATTGCTTATTTTTGCCTCTTGATGCCCTGTCCTTTTGGGGCCCTCTTGCGGCGTCTTCGGCCGTCTCGAGGCCATCTTGGATGTTCTTTGGGCCTCCCCAGCGTGCTGGAGCCGCTCTGGAGTCATCGTAGAAAGCATCTTGGGCGTCTTGGCGGCCACGGAGAGTTGATCTTGAGGTTCCGAGGGCCCCAGCGGTGCGTTGGCGATGGCGAGCTCGTGCTTCGCCATCCCCCCCTCTTGCAGGAGCTTGGACCCCAGGGGAAAGGGAAAGGTCGGAGGCCTGGAAATGGGCACCAACACCAACACAGGGGGTTGCCTCCACAGGGGAAAAATGATCCTAGATGTCGGTGTTGGTGGTAATTTTTCGGCCACCTTGGAAGCCAGAGTATTACCACCATCACCGAGATTGGGATCTTCGTCCCTCGGTGGAGGCACACCGCCGATATTGGTGTTGGTGTCAACCTGTAGGCCTGCGAACGGGGGGAGGGGTGACCGCCGATCATCTCACACGCCTTCCCGCCCCCGGCGGGCGGGGTCGTGGATCCGAGACGCCCCGGCCTCGAAGCCCGATGCGAGGCGCTCCGGCCTCTGGGAGATCTCTGGAGGCCCTCTTCGGGCCCTCCTGAGGCCCTCCTCGGGTGCCGTTTTGGGGCTCTCTCTCGGAATCGGGTGTCGGCCCCCGTCGGCCCGGCACCCGGCCTTTGGCCCTTTTGTAGGGCCCTCTTTGGGGCCGGATTGGTGCTTTTTCGAAGATGTACTGTCTGCTGGTAGGACCGCTTGGGGCCCCGTCGGTCGCGGGCACGGCTGCCACAATGTGGCGGTCGGGCAACGCAGCTCGAGAGAGGCGCGGGGTGGCCTCCAGAGCGACGCCATGGTCTTGCGGTCGGTTTCCTGTTCAATTTGTTCCATTTGTTCTTGCGGTCGGTTCAATTTGTTCTTGCGGTCGGTTCCATTTGGTCCACTTGTTCCAAGAATCCAAGCGGTGGTCCACCGGAGCCGTCCCCTGGAGCTGAGACCCACGCTACGTCCTGCCCGCAGCGCTTCTCTCGGCTCTCTCCGCCTGGATCCGAATCCGATGAGGCTTAGCGTCCGCGCCCCAGGGCCGGTGGCATCTGTCGGGGCTGGACAGAACCCCCAACAGTGACACGTCGATTAGTGAATTGTCCGTTTTCGGCTTTCGAGAGGGCGCCGCGGCCGTTATTTTCCAGGCTTGCGCCCGCCGGGTTTGGGCCCGAGGTCGTTTTCACTAAACCACGTTTTGCTAAAGGGGGTTCTGTCCATCCCCGACTCTGGCACATCCCGCATCCCGCCACCTTGCCAACACAGGCGCCCTGGATGCACAGAGGGGTCTCTTCGGGTGCCTCCCACCGGCCTCTTGGGGAGCTCCCAGGGGCTTCCTGGGGTCCGCTTCCCGGACATGCGACGTCCTGATTTTTTCAGCACGGCGTCCCCGCAAGTCCCGACCCTTTCCCCGGGACCGAGTCGTTTTTTGACGGTCCCGAGGCCCGGCGAGGACCCCTTAGGGGGCGAAAATATCAAAAAACCGCCCGTCCTGATTTTTAACGACGCCATCATGTCTGGGTTGGGGGCCTCGCGGGGGCCGCCTGGTCCCAGGGGGGGGGCCTCTTGGGGGGCCCCTTGGGGGGGCCCCGCGTGCGCGCCCCCCGCGGCGGGGGCGCCCCCGGCCGGTGGCTGCAGCCCTGCGGGGGGCCGCCCCCGCGCGCCGCAGGGTCGGCACCCGTGCGCGCCCGCGCCGTCCGCCGCACGCGCCTCCGGCGGCCAGCCAGTGGCTCCTCCTCCTCCTCCTCCTCCTCCGCTCCTCCTCCTCCTCCTCTCCGCCTCCTCTCCTCCTCCTCCTCCTCCTTCGCCTCCTCCTCCTCCTCCTCCTCCCCTCCTCCCTCCTCCTCCTCCTCCTCCTCCTTCGCTCCTCCTCCTCCTCCTCCTCCTCCTCCTCCGCCTCCTCCTCCTCCTTCGCATCGCGCGGCAAAACTCGGGCCGGGCGAAAGGGGGGGATTGGGAAAGGGGGGGTTACGAAATTTGCTGCATGCAGCTGGTTTCGGCCTCACCGAGGGGCCCAGTCCTCGATACATAGCCGCCTCCGGCGCCGGGAGGCGCCGGGAAAATCAGCTACGTGAGCTGATTCTCAAACCCCCCCTTTGCTATCCCCCCCTTTCGCCCGACCCGAAAAACCAGCGAGACGCGATGGGTGGACCGAATGAGCAAGCCTAGACCTGGCGGCCCTCGATGGGTCGACCGAAACCAACGAGACGCGATGGGTCGGCGCCGCCCCGCCCGGCGGCCCTCCATGTCGTGCTGGTCGGGAGCCGCGGCGCGCACCGCGCAAAAGTCCACGCCGGACCTCCCTCCCTCCCTCCCTCCCTCCCTCCCTCCCTCCCTCCCTTCCTGGTACACGCCAGGCCCCGTGGCGCCGTGGGTCGGGCGGTGCCGTTTGTTTTCTGGTCCACTGGGTCTGGGCTGCCGCAGGCGCCGGGGGTGCCCCAGGCAGCAGTGGGCAACCTCTGTCTGCGACGGACTAGACTATACTTGCGCTCACGGCTGCGGTCAGTCAGTCAGTCGGAGAGGACATGAAGCCGCCTACGTCTCACAGCGCTGAGTTGTTATTTCATCGCTTCGCTCATTCCGCTGGCCCTTCGGTGTTGTGTCACTGGTGCTATGTATGTTGGAGGGCTCGTGGCGAGCGAGAAGGAGGAGGTGGAGGAGGAGGACCAGTCTTTTCGAATTGCTCCTTGGGGCATTCTTGAAGGCGCTTAATTACGTTTCACAGCGCTGAATTGTTATTCAAGATGCTTGCGCCATTCCGCCGACCCCCATAAGAGGCGGGGAGTCCACCGTTGAGACGTCGTAGACTTCTTGGGCATTGTCTGGGGACTCTTGTGGGCGTCTTGGGAGCTGTTTGGGGGCCTGGCGGAGCCTCTTGGAGGCAGTTTTGAAGCGTCGTGGGGCCCGTTTGGGGGCATCTTGGGGGCCTCTTGGAGGCTTCCTGGGGCTTAACTATTGGGGGCCTCTTTTGGGCCGCTTGGAGGCTCCTTGGGTCCTTTGGGGGGCCTCTTGGGTGGGGACGATAGGATGTTCGGTTCGCGTTCTCCCTTTTTGCCTCTCTTGGGGCGATCTTTGGCCGTCTTGAGCCCCCCTTTTGGCCGTCTTGGAACCCTCTTGGGCCGTCCTGAGGCCCTCGTAATTACGGGCCTCTTGGGAAGTTTTGGGGCGGTCTACGTGGCTTTCTGGGCCGTCCTGGAGCGTCGGGAGCTCGAGAAGACGACAACCTCAGAAACAATGAAAAACCTCAGCAAAACCCTGGATTGTTGTCTCTCGGGGCCCTCTTGGGAAGGCTCTTGGGGCGTCTCGCTGGTGTCTTGGGTCGTCTTTGGAGCCATCGCAAGCGTCTTAGGCCAATCGTTCTGGGATTCGGGACCGTCTTGGAACGTCTTTGAGGCCACGGAAAGCAGATTTGGAAGCTCCGGGGTCTCCAGGGGTGCGCCGGCGAGCCCGGATGCAACCCCCCCTTGAACGAGATGTTGGACCCTGGGGGAGGGGGAGAGGGGGAGGGGGACAGCCAATCATCTCACACGCCTCTCTCGGCCCCCGCAAGCGGTGGTCGGCGGATTTTCCGTATCGAGGCTCCGGCCTCCGTTGCCACGCCCTAACGGGCGCGCGCGGGCGCCCGCGCGGCGCGCGTGCGCATCCAGCGGTCGTTCGCCGGTGGCGTCGCAGCTCCGGTTCTCGGGCGGGGCTGGGACCGATATGCAGTCGGCCCTGATCAACAGGTCGACCCTGCCAAATCGAGGGTACCTCTGTGTCCTGTGTCTCACGACCCATGCCTCCTACATTCCTGTGGCAATGTGGCCCTCGGAAGGATGTCGTGTCCTCCTCGTGTGTCCTGTCCAATCAAGTCCGACTGTAAATTGTTCTAGAGCGCCCGAGAGCGTTCTCGGAGCGTTTTCCAGAGCGCCTTGGAAGGGCCGCGGCGCCTTGTGCAGCCTGCAGAGCCGCCTGGTCTCAGAGATCCCCGACTTGTCCCGTTCCGATTGTGCCCCGGTCAGCGTCGAATCATCGAGGATAGAAGAAACACTTACCCGAATACCACGATGAAGACGTTGCCTCACTGAGGACCCCGTCTTTGCATTAGACTCCTATCCCTAATCCGTTTGGTCCTCCTAACTCAGGTCCCCTCCCAAAGGGTTAGGGTTCCTGTTATTGCTTATCATTGAAGGCCCCGTGCCAGCGGTTGCGCGAGCGTATCTGATGGTAGCGCTTGCCAGGGTCTTGTCCTTCCCCTCCAGCTCTGTCGCGTTTTCGCCCGATGGATGGCGGCAGGCAGCTTCGCTTGACGTCCTTGACCACCGCCTGCGAGCACGTCGTCTATGTTACTGGCGATGTCGAAATAAGCGCCCATCCAAGAAATCTAAGAGCCAGAACGAGGTCACTCCCCGCGCCCTTGGTTTCAATGTTCACATTCGCACGCAGGCCATGGCCCGCAAAAGTAGGCTCTTTCGTCAAACTGACTTGCGCTTGTCCGGATCAAGGGCCCAGAACTTTGAAATCGGGGCCCTGGGGTTCTTCGGGGGCGGCAACGAGGGGGGAGATGACTGGGGGGCGGGTGGATATCATGGTGGGGGCCAGGATATCCCCCCAGATTTCATGGCGCCTCTTCTCATTTCATTACGTCCCTGGCCCCCCCAAGGGCCGCGCACATGCCGCCGGCCATGATTTGCGCCCCCCCCTCCTCCTCCTCCTCCTCTCCTCCTCCTCCTCCTCCTCCTCCATCTCCTCCTCCTCCTCCTCCTCCTCCTCCTCCATCTCCTCCTCCTCCTCCTCCTCCTCCTCCTCCTCCTCCTCCTCCTCCTCCTCCTCCTCCTTTTTGGACGCTCCCCTCTCGGCCCCTCGGCCGCCCCCGAGTTCTGCCACGCTTCGACACATCGGAAGCCGCAGCATTCTGGCACCGCTCCACGGGGCGTGCCCGCCTGGACAACCGCCGTCAGCACGCGGAGCAGCAACTGGAACGAGCCCCGCCGAAGGCGAGCATCCCGCAAGGAGCGTGCCCTCCTCCTCCTCCTCCTCCTCCTCCTCCTCCTCCTCCTCCTCCTCCTCCTCCAGTCCGCTCGCAGCATCGCACGAGATCGCACGAGATGATCCTGCCCGCCGCCCCAGTCGACTCCGCGCGGCCGACCTGCTTCCACGGCGAATCCGAGGCCCGAAAACCATGACGTCACTGATTTTGGGCCTCGGGGCCCACTGAGGCCCCCGGGGCCCCGGATTATTGGAGTGGTGTTTTTCCCGGAAAGGGCTCGAGCCCAGGGTTCTCTTTTAGTTGGTAAACCTGTCCCCCGGTGCCAACTTGAAGGAGGCCGGCGAATTTTTTCCCTGATAAATATCGAGGTCGAAGGAGGCCGGCGAATTAAAATTTGAGGATGTCTCGAGCGAAACGCTTGTTTTTCAGAATTTGTTGAGGATGTCTCGAGCGAAACGCTGGTTTTGCAGAGTTGGGGATGTCTCGAGCGAAACGCTTGTTTTCAGAATTTGCTGAGGATGTCTCAAGCGAAACGCTGGTTTTGCAGAGCCGACCGCGACGCGGAAAAGCGCCCCGCGCGAAGGAATTTCGATGATGTCTCGACTAATTCGTTTGTTTTTGTACGATTTCCTGGAATTTTGGCAGGATGTCTCGAGCGAAATGCACGACCCCACCCTAGCACGACCATACCCCAGCACGACCACACCCCAGCACGACCAGACCCCAGCACGACCCCACCCCAGCACGACCCCACCCCAGCACGACCATACCCCAGCACGACCACACCCCAGCACGACCCGACCCCAGCACGACCCTACCCCAGCAAGACCACACCCCAGCACGACCACACCCCAGCACGACCTCACCACAGCACGACCACACCCCAGCACGACCACGCCCCAGCACGACCACGCCCCAGCACGACCACGCCCCAGCACGACCACCCCCCAGCACGCCCACCCCCCAGCACGACCACACCCCAGCACGACACACCCCCCCAGCACGACCACACCCCAGCACGACCACACCCCAGCACGACCACACCCCAGCACCAGCACGACCACACCCCAGCACAACCCGATCGATAAATCACATGGTGCGGACCACCCCAGCACGACCACACCCCAGCACGACCCCACCCCAGCACGACCCCACCCCAGCACGACCACGCCCCAGCACGACCACACCCCAGCACGACCACACGCCACGCACGCACCCCACCCCAGCACGACCCCACCCTAGCACGACCACACCCCAGCACGACCACACCCCAGAACGACCACACCCCAGCACGACCACCCAAGCACGACCCCACCCCAGCACGACCACACCCCAGCACGACCACACCCCAGCAGGACCCCACCCCAGCACGACCCCACCCCAGCAAGACCACACCCCAGCACGACCACACCCCAGCACGACCTCACCACAGCACGAGCACGACCACACCCCAGCACGACCATCGCACGACCACACCCCAGCACGACCACGCCCCAGCACGACCACACCACACCCCCAGCACGACCACGCCCCAGCACGACCACCCCAGCCCGACCACCCCCCAGCACGACCACCCCCCAGCACGACCACACCCCAGCACGACCACTCCCCAGCACGACCACACCGCCTTGGTTGAGTGGTTGCCTGTCGTCGTGGAATGTTTCGTGGGGTGTCTCGTGGAATGTTTCGCGGGGTGTCTCGTGGAATGTTTCGTGAGGTGTCTCGTGAGAATGTTTCGTGAGGTGTCTCGTGGGATGTTTCGTGAAGTGTCTCGTGGGATGTTTCGTGAGGTGTTGCCCAGTTGGGTATCGTGAAAACGTGTCCATGCTCCACATGTCTATATCCCTTTCCGGGTTCGTGGGTCCATCATGTTTTCCCACGTGAGGACCCCGAAATTCATCATTGCACTAAACATGCAACATAGGTCTCGTAGCGAAGCTGGCCCTGTCCTGCACATGTCCACCTGCAGCCGTGCGCTTCTGCCGCGCGAGGCGTGCCAACAGGTCGGAGACCACTGATGCTCCCCCCTGTCCCACTCCTCGCTCCTCCCCTGACCCCCCCTGATACACTCCTCCCTATTCGTCGTCATACATCGCTCCCTCCTCCCCATGAATTCTTATCCCTCCCGCAGGATTTCCTGGTGTATGCTGAGACGTTACGGATCTGGAAAGTCTGGGTACACGGTGGTCGTGCCGAAGGACTCGCCGGAGGAGAAGGCGTGGAGGATGGGGAGGAGGGAAGAGGGCTCCTCTTTCTCCGCCTCTGATTTCCTTGCCCTCCTTATTGCGAAGGCCTTACGGCCGGTGCCGCCGACCCTGAAGACGACGAAGATGAAAACGAGCGGAGGGGGGCAGGAGGCAGAGGAGGAGGAGGAGGAGGAGGAGGAGGAGGAGGAGGAGGAGGAGGAGGAGGAGGAGGAGTGGGGGGGGGGCAGAGGAAGGGTGGAGGGGGCGGATGAGGGAGGAGGAGGGGGGGAAGGAGGAGGAGGAGGAGGATGAGGAGGAGGATGAGGAGGAGGTGGGAGGAGGGCTCCTCTTTCTCCGCCTCTGATTTCCTTGCCCTCCTTATTTCTCCTCCCCTTCGTTCCGCACCCGAGTCAGGGGCAAACGCGAAAACGCTGTCCCCCTATCACTCATCCATCCTCTTACTCCTACGTACGTTCCTCGTCCTGATCCCCGGGTCTTATTACTACGTTCTCTTCCCGCTTCCTTCACATGTGCGCGTTTGCACGTGTTGGAGCGCTCGCAGAGGGGGGGAAGCGGAACGAGTTGACGGAGCAGCCAGACAAATATTCTCTCCCTTTCTCGTCGCCCTCCCTTATTGTCGCCCTCCTTTTTGGTCCGGGAAGCAGTCTATTTGGGTGGAATGCTTACTTGCGATGGCAAAGCGACGCCAGAGGTCACCCGGGGCGCCTCGGCGAAGCGCAACGTATCTTCAAGCAGCTCGCAGAATTTTGGTCCCATGCGGCATTGGGCTGGAAAAGAATACACAAAGTGTACGACAGCTGCGTCCTGGGCAAATTAATAGATTCCCTCGATTCCGTTTGGCTATTACAAGCTGACTGACGCAGGCTCGATGCGTTCCACTGCCGTTGCGGCGCATGTCAGCTCTCCCCGAGGCTAGGATCCACTAGTGGTGTTTTTTCATGCTCTTGTTGTTGCTTGTTTGTTTTGTCTTGTTTCGTTTTTGCGGCGCGCGCTGGACTCGCGCTCCGAACTCATTGCTCATTGCCGTTTTTGTTGGATTCGGGCGCTATGGTTTTGCCCCCTCCTTCTCGAGGGAGGTGGCTGAATCGCGGGCGCGCGTGTGCCCATGGTTGCGCATCTCGCCAGAATGGTTCGTGGCCATGGCGATTGCGCGGGGCGGGGCCCGGTGCATGCCCAACGGCATGCGCGTTGCATGATAGCGGCAGAGTCGTCTTAAACGTGTGGTCATTATTTTGGCGTGGTTTGGAAGTGACCCGCCAACGCCTTCCCGACATTGCGAAACACTCACAGGTGGCCATTACTGTCAAACGCTCACAAATTGCCATGCACCGCCCTGCAGGCACTCGGAGGCTTCCTCCCAGTGTCGCGCCCGGGAGGCTCACATAGTGTGTCGGGCGAGTGTATCTCAGCCATGTCAGTCGCCCTCGGCATCCCTGCGCGCGCTTACAGGGGGTGCTTTCTGCAGACGACTGCCGACGGCCCATCGACCCATCGGCCCAAATTGCATTGCCGATTAAGGAACTTGCGGGTGCTTCAACATGTATAACAGTTAAGCTGCGAAGGGGACCTTCGCCACAAACGTGCGCAAGATATGCATGGGCCGATGTGCGACCGTGTGAGCACTACCCGGTTTAGAGCACGACATTGAGCATCGGCCAGCACATGGAAATATGCATGCATGGGCGGGCCACGAAAAACACGTGCATGGGCCAGTGAAGAACGAGAGCGACGCAAAGTGCATCCAACAGGTGGTAACGATGATTCGACCGTCAAAATACGTGGCCTGCCTCTCTCGAGCACTGTCTTTGGGACCGGCGTTGCCTCGCGGGGTTTTCGTGGGGCTTTGTTGGGGGCTCGCTTGTCGGGCTCTCGCGGGGTTCCTGCGGGGCTCTCATGGAAGTCCCCGGAAGGATTTCGCCAGGCGTTCCTCGGGGTTCGCCTGGGGTCTCGTGGGGCTCACGTGGGGCTCTCGCCGGGTTCCCCCAGGGGTTCTCGCGAGGCTCTCGTGGGGCTCTTGCGGGCTCGATTGGGGTCCGTTGGGCTCCCCATCTCCCCTTGTCATCCTCCCTCCTCCTTTCCTTGTCCCCCTCCCTCCTCTAGTCGGGCTCTGTCAGGCTTCGTCGGGCTCATCCTGTCGCCTTTTCCTTTTTGAGCTCTGTCGCGTTCCGTCGGGCTCCGTATGGCTCCTTCCGGCTCCGTCGGTTTCCGTCGGGCCCTCGAAGTCTCCGTTGGGCTCTCATCGGTGGGTCTTGAATCCTTTCGGATTGTCTTGGGCGAAGTCACTCAGGGCTCGCATCAAGAAGCCCACCAGGCAACAACGAGGCTCTTCCAGGAGGCCGCCCACGAACGGCCCAGGAGCGGACCCCCGAACGCCCCCACTACGGGACCCATTAACGAGCCCGCTAACGAGCCCACTAAGGGACCCACTAACGAGCCCACTAAGGGACCCACTAACGAGCCCACTAAGGGGCCCACTAACGACCCACTAGCGAGCCCACTAACGAGCCCACTAAGGGCCCCACTAGCGAGCCCACCAACGAGCCCACGAGAAATCTTAAGCGGGACTTCGCACTCGACTGTGGCACTCGACTTTAAGCCGAATCGGCGAGGCCACGAACCCTGTGACAGTCGTTAATGGGGCGCTAGTGGGGAGTGCAGCGGGGAGTGCAGTGGGGAGCGCAGTGCGGACCCCAACGGCCTTCTGAATGCTCCGGGCCCCCTGTTGCCCTGAGGAGCCGGAGGAACAGGAGGAGGCAGGAGGAGGCAGGAGGTGGAGGAAGAGGAGGAGGGAGGAGGAGGAGGAGGAGGAGGAATAATAGTTTACAGGTGCAAAAGAGGATGAAGGAGGGCGAGGAGGAGGAGGAGGAACAGGGGGGGGAGGAGGAGGCAGGAGGAGGATGCAGAGGATGGGGGCTGCAGGAGGAAGCAGGATAAAATAGGAGGAGGAGGCGGGAGGGAAAACGGCTTCGGAGGGCCGGAAAAAGGGGCCCCACAAGGCTCCCTGGGGCCCCCAGGTGCCCCCCCAAAACACCGCAGATGTCTCCAAGAGGTGCCCAGGAATACCTACCAACCGACCCCCTTGTGGTACATAATCCCGTGGGCCTTCTTGGGGGCCTCTTGAGGACCTCTTGGAGCCCTGTCTTGACTCTTCCTGAGGCCTCTGCCGCCGTCTTTGAGGGGCCCAAGGAGGCTCCCAGGGGGGGCCAAGAGGGCCCCGAGAGGGCCCCGGGGATGTTTCACATCTCTGGGGACCTCTTGGGACCCTCATGTGGCCCTGTTGGGGTCCTGATTTGCCCTTTGTGGGGCCATCTGGAAACCTCTTGGGGCCCTTTGGGGGTCTTGTTGTAGCCCTCCGAGGCCGTGAGAGCCCGACGAGCCCGACGAGCGAACCCCGCGAGACACTTGAGAGCCCGACGAGCGAACCCCATGAGACCCGTGAGAGCCTACCAAAGCCACACGAGAATCCCGCGAGGCAGTGTTCATCCAAAAGGCAATGCCCGAGTGAGGCCCTGTGCGTACATGGGCGGTTGGGAAAATGTCGCCACATTCTGGATACACCTGTACACAGCTGTCGTGCTACACTGGTCTTTGCATATCGTTATGTACGCCCGCCCATACATGTATATTTCTCTATACCGTCGTATGCGTAATGTTTTTTTTTTACTTGCCCATGCATGATATATGTTAACTCACAGGCCCAAGCATCTATGTTTGGCCGTCTGTGGCCAAGGCCCCCCTCTGCGACCTAACGTTCTTGTAAATGTTGGAACACGCTCAGGCCCCCTCATCAGCAGTTCAATATGCGTTGGGGGTCGATGGGCCTCCGGAGGCTGTCTGTAAAAAGCGCCCCTTGCCGGCGCGCGCAGGGATGCCGAGGGCGACCGGCAAGGCTGAGAAACATTCGCCCGACTCACTACGTGGCCCCCTGGTCGCGACGCTGGGCGGAGGCCTCCGAGTGCCTGCGGAGCAGTGCATGCGGGGAAGGTTTCGGCGGGCGTTTCTGCGCTTGTGTGGCCGCCTTTGGGCGCGTGCCCGCGACTGCGACCGCCCGCGGGCGCTTCGTGATCAGTTGCGGGTGCTCGTGGGCACGCGTGGAAGGTCTCGCCAACCTTTTTGGGAAGACGTAAACACGCGGGAGTGCTTGCCAGTGCTTCCGCGTGCCCGTGAGCGCCCGTGGTCTCGCATGGCCGCTGGCGGGCGTCTCTCCCAGTAGCTGCGCGCTTCTGAGTGCCCGCGTGCGCCCCCGCGCGCGCTGAATGGCGTTGCTATGTTGCGAGCCGCGCAAACTGCCCCCAGCGTCAACTGAAGCCTCGGCCCCAGTGAAAAGAAAATTTCAGGAGAAAAAAAAAAGAAAACGCTCCTGCGATGATCCTAGACGCTGGGAGAGGTGACGCATGTTAGGTGTCCAGGCTTCTTCTATTTCAAGAGTTACAAACGCAGACGATCTAGACAGGGCTGGCGTCGAGCTTCTTTCTCAGGTGTTATTGGGCAGACAAAAGAAATTTGACCACTAGATATCAGGTGGGCCCGTGTCGCTCGTCCGTCAGGTGGTATGCCGACAAGATGGCACACCGAAAACTTGGGTGGAACATCGGCGTCGTGTCCGGTCGAGACAGCGACGGGTTTCAGAAGTGTACAAGCTGTGTCAGCACAGTCGAGCACCCCTTCTGCTGCGTAGTTCGGCCTTTTCATTCTTCCCTCCTCCCCCCCTCCTCCAGCGCGATTCTGAGTTGCAGCGTTAGGATTGTTTTCCTTCGGCGGCCCTAATTATGCGGTTGTCGTGCCAGCGCGTCCTGCTGGATGTGCGGCTATGCGGTGTGGTGGTGGGTTTTAGCTGTACAGCCGTAGCATCAATTCGACCCCCTCCCTCCTCCCCCCTCCTCGACAGACCAAACCCCGTTTGGCATGTGCGTGCAATCTGGGAGTCATCGCGTTCGCTTGGAGCGCTTCGCTCGACCGCTGGCCTCTTCGCCGAAGGTTATATGCGGCCTTCGGATATCTGCTGATAGGTGCTGTCTCGGGCGCTTCCCCACTCCCGGGCTCGACAGCTATTCCTCCCCCTCTTTCTTTTCTTCGGCCTCTTCTGGCATGATGGAATCCCCTTTCCAACAGCTTGGAAGCTTGCAGTTCTCAGCCCCCGAGATCTGTTCACGGCGCGAGCTTGCGTCCCCGCGCGCTGCCTACTGTTATTGCGAGGATGTTGCGCAACTCGCTGCCGAGCAGAAAGAGGCAGGATCGAGGAGGAGGGATGAAGAGCGGAAGGAGTGCCCCGGGGAGCGAGGGCAGGGAGGATCTCGAGGAGGACGGAAGAGAGGGAGAGTGAGCGACAGGAGAGGAGGAGGGGCTGGGAGGAGCAGAAGGGGCATTGGCAGGGGTATGAGGTGGAGGAGGATGGGGAGGTGGAGGGGGGAGGGGGCGAGGAGGAGGGGGAGGAGGCGGCTTGAGGATGGGAATGAGGAAGTATGTTGTCTCCAGGCCGCCCAAGCGGGGTCTAGGTAGATGGTGTCGGCAGATCGCGCCGCATCGCCGACGCACCGGCGATGCAGCTCGATGTGGAGCCCGGTTTTCTCCACGCCGACGGCGTCGATGCATCGCCGACGTTGTTGAGGCATCGCGAATGCGTCTGCCATGAATCGGAACTTCGGCGCCATCCTCCAACCCATCTGCTCGGACCCCTTTTGGGGGGTCTCTGGTCCTCGGCGCAACAAGTACCTAACTGAATGGTAAATGCCTGAAGTGACCAACGCATTCTTATTCTCTGAGGTGACCGATGAGAAGCAGGAGGGGCAGGAAGAGCAGCATGGGAGAGGAGGAGGAGGAGGAGGAGGAGGAGGAGGAGGAGGAGGAGGAGGAGGAGGAGGAGGAGGAGAGGAGGGGAGGAGGAGGAGGGAGGGATGATCAGGAGGAGGAGGAAGAGAAGGAGGAGGAGACGAAGCAGGAAGGATACAAGATCCCTGAACGGCATTTTCCTCGAGCTCGTCTGAGGTGGATTTTTTTCAGGGCAGCGTAGCTTGGACGAGTTGCCCGCATCAATTAGCGAAGCGAAGCGCAGAGTAGAACGAGGAGGAGCAGGAGGAGCAGGAGGAGGAGGAGGAGGATGGGAAGGGCGGAAGAAGGAGGGGGGATGAGGAGGCGGAGAAGGGGAGGATGTGGGATTAGGAAGAGGAGGAGGAAGCCTAGAGGAGGATCAGGAGGGGTTGGGCGCAAGATGGGGGGGGAGGGGATACATGTGAAGAAACGCTTTTTGTGTGTATGCGTGTGTGCGTGCGTGCGTGCGTGCGTGCGTGCGGCGTGCGTGCGTGCGTGCGTGCGTGCGTGCGTGCGTGGCGTGCGTGCGTGCGTGCGTGTGTGTGTGGTGTGTGTGTGTGTGTGTGTGCGTGTGTGTGTGTGTGTGTGTGGGCGGCGGGCGGCGGGCGGGCGGGCGGGCGGGCGGGCGGCGGGCGGCGGCGGGCGGGCGGGCGTGCGTGCGTGCGTGTGTGTGTGTGTGTGTGTGTGGTGTGTGTGTGTGTGGTGTGTGCGTGTGTGTGGTGTGTGTGTGTGTGTGTGTGTGTGTGTGTGTGGGGGGGGGGGGGGATGGGGGTGTATGCGTGTGTGCGTGCGTGCGTGTGCGTGGGTGTGTGTGTGTGTGTGTGTGTGTGCGTGTGCGTGTGCGTGTGCTGGTGTGTGTGGGTGTGTGCGATGGCGTGTGCGTGTGCGTGTGCGTGCGTGCGTGTGCGTGGTGTGCGTGTGTGCGTGTGTGCGTGCGTGTGTGCGTGTGTGCGTGTGTGCGTGTGTGCGTGTGTGCGTGTGTTGCGTGTGTGTGCGTGTGTGTGTGCGTGTGCGTGTGCGTGTGCGCGTGTATGCGTGTGCGCGTGTGTGCGTGTGTGCGTGTGTGCGTGTGTGCGTGTGTGTGTGTGTGTTTGTGTGTGTGTGTGTGCGTGCATGCGTGCGTGCGTGTTCGTGCGTGCGTGCGTGCGTTCTTGTGTGTGTGCGTGCGTGCCGGCGTCCGTGTGTGTGTGTGTGTGCGTGCGTGCGTGCGTTCGTGCGTGCGTGCGTGCGTGCGTGCGTGCGTGCCTGTGTGTGCGTGTGTGTGTGTGGGGGGTCTCCCAATATCCCGGACGTCTGGAAACCAGGGGGGGGATCCCCCCTTTCCCCCGAACGGGGGGGGTCCCAAATTTGCCAACCTTCGCGCAAGAGGGGGGATTCAAACAAACCCCCCATCCCCTGGCGCTGGCGAACGGAGGCGACGACGACGACGACGACGAACATGCCCCCCACTGGCACCAAACTCGCGCTGTGAAGGGGGGGCTTCTACTCCCCCGCTGGCACCGGCAAGCGACGAGGATGACGACGGCGATGAACCCCCAGCCCTGGCGCCGGCAACGACGAGGACCACGGGGTTGACGACGACGATGAACCCTCCCCCTTCCCACCCCTGGCGCTGTCAAACGACGACGACGACGACGACCATGGCAGACGACGACGGCTATGACCACTGTCAGAGGTGGAGGTTGTTGGGAGGGGGGCTTCTGTGTGAAGGGGGAGGCCAGTTTGCTGGGTGCTTGGGATGTTGGGAGGGTGGGGGGCCGCGTTCAACGTGTCGAGGAACGGTTCGCACCCGAGCGCCCGTGAATTTCTCGCTCTCATACACGTATTCATGCGTGTGTGTGTATATATATATGTATTTGTGTACGGACGTGCGCGCGAGAGAGAGAGAGAGACATAAAGAAAGAAAGAGAGAACAACACAAAGGACGATCCGAGAGCAACCCTCGCGGCCGAGGACCTGAGCAGCTGACCGCCAGCCTGCCCCACGCCTGCCCTGGTCGCCGGGGGCGAGGCCGACCCGTGGCCCCGGAGTGCAGGCGTCCTGCCTCCGCCCTTTCCTCTGTTGCTCCTGCCCCTCTCCTCTTCGCTCCCGCTGCTCGTGCTGCTTCTCCTCCACCTCGCCCCGCTTACCTCATCCTCGCCCTCCCTGCTGTCCTCCGCCCCCGCAGCTTCGAAGGTGTCGAACGTGTAGCAGAACAGTCGCAGAAGCGCATGCTTTCGGAGGTCCGCGCGGCCTCTTGCTCTGCTACCTCCTTCCCTGCTGCAGGGCTCGTTCCGATTCCTCCGATTCGATTCGATTCGATTTCGATGGCTTCCGATTCCGATTCGATTCGACTCGATTTGGGATGCCGATTTGGGCTGCGATTTCTCGATGGAGGCCTACAAGCCTGCCGATGTCTGCCGATTCGATTTCTCCCGACTCGGCTGCCGATTTCCGTCGGTCCGATTCATGCCGATCGCCGATCCGACTTGTCGATTCGATTCTGTGTTCTCCTGCTGCTGCTCTCCTCCCCTTCAGCCCCTGGCCATATTATTGCTTCGAGTCTGTTCGCGATTCGGTGGGGACCTCGTGCGCAGCAGGGAGGGGGATCCAGCGCCGACGTGGAACGTCCGCGCGGAGTTCCTGAAGTTCGTGTTTCTGTTTTTGCTCCTCTGTGGAATTCGGCCGTTCCTTCGATCCAGGTCGGAGTTCCTCTCCGTGGCTGGGGCTCGCCGTGCCTGGGAAAACAGTTTGCTCCGCATTCGGCGTCCTGTTGGCACGATGGCTGCTCGCCCGCGGCCACCATTCTGTCGCTCGTGTGCAGCCCCAGTCTGCCATGTTGCGCGGGCCATCCCCCCAGAGGTGTACGTCGACGTGTTTTGCCTTCTCTTCCCCCCCCCCTCTCTTGACTCCTTGCCTGCGACCCTTCGGGCACGCGCGCCAGCAGCACGGTCGCGGGCTCCATACTGAGGGCGTTGACAGAGCCACCGCTTCTGGCTCAGGAGCGGCTGCGGCTCCCAGGGCGCTCCTCGGACCTCGGTCGGGGGGCCTCTTCCTGGCCGCAGCTTGCCGTGGCCAGAAGAGCCCGCGTGCTCCTCGCGAGCCGTTGCTCGTGTCAGCGCATGCGATCCCCTCTCCGCCCTCATCGAGCTGCTCGGCTTTGGTTGTGTTCGGTTGCTCTCGCACACCCACGTGGCACACGGAGGAGGGGAAGCAGCACAACAGAGACGTGCACGCAGGCCCCCAGAGATCTCCGGAGGTTCCCAGGGGTCTTTTCGGGAGCGCTCAAGGGGGTGCAGGACTGGGGCGTGTGGACATTATGGTCAGGGCCATGACGTCCCCCAGATGTCCTGGTCTCTTCTTCTTCCTTCTTCTTCCTCCTCTTCTTCGTCTTCTTATGCTTCTCTATCGTAACATATAACTGTTATGATTAGTTGTATGATCATTGTTATCATTATTTGCATTTCACGGTTCATTTAATTAACCTTTTTGTTCTTATTCCCCTATCAGTGCTTGCTCTGAAGGGGTCCCAGCAGAGATTGAAAGATTTGGCGTAAGTACTGGGCCGATTTCGATGGGCGGCCAGGTTCCCGGTTCTCTGGTTCCGGGTTCCCAGGTTCCGGGTTCCGGGTTCCGGGTTCCGGGCCGATTTCGGTGGGCGGCTGGATTTCCGGGTTCCTGAGTTTTTGGTCGATCTTCTTATCGACCAGTCTCACCATCGATCTCATTACCCTTCTCACCATCGATCTCATTATAGATCGCACGAGCAATCTCATTATTGATCCGTTATCGATCTCATTGAATCGATTTCACTAACGATCGACCTTACAACCGTCCTTATTATGGATTCCAGTATCGATCTAACTACCGATCTCACAATCGATCTCAATATCCGAAAGAGCGTGTTCTACCGCTGCTGGCGGAAAACCGGGGGGGGTCACTACCGGTTCGAACCCCTGCCCCCCCCCCCTCCGGAAAACCGGGGGGGGTCACTACCGGTTCGAACCCCTCCCCCCCACCCCAGTTCATCATGAAAAGGGGGGGGGGTCACTGCCGGTTCGAACCCCCCCTCCCCCCCCTCGTTTTCGAAAACCGGGGGGGGTCACTACCGGTTCGAACCCCCCCCCCCTCGAAAACCGAGGGGGGGTGCGGACAGTGGTGGGGACGGTGGTGGTGGGGACAGTGGTGAGGGGACAGCAGGACAGTGGTGGGGACAGTGGGACAGTGGTGGGGACGGTAGTGGTGGGGACAATGGTGAGGACAATGGTGGGAACAGTGGGGACAGTGGGACCGTGGTGGGGACGGTGGTGGTGGGGGACAGTGGTGTGGGGACAGTGGGAATGTGGTGGAAACAGTAGGACAGTAGAGGGTACAGTGGTGGTGGGGACAGTGGTGAAGGCGGTGGCGAGGACGGCGGTGGGACAATGGGACAGAGGTACAGTGCAGTGGGAACAGTGGTGGGGACAGTGGGGACAGTGGTGGGAACAGTGGGACAGCTCAGTGATTCGAACCAGTAGTGACCTCCCTCTGGTTTTCGAGGGGTGGGTGGGTTCGAACCGGTAGTGACCCCCCCCGGTTTTCGAGTTCGAGGGGGGGGGGGGAGGGGTTAGTAAGGGGAGAGGGGGGGGTTTTGCCGGGGAAAGGGGGGGGGGGGGGTTCCAGCGGGGGGGGGATTTTCGGAGGGGGGGGGGACCCCCGGGCTCCGGAAGAAAAAGGCGGCAATTTTCCACAGTAAGGCGGCGGTGGATCACGCTCTCTCCAATATCCATAGCACTAATGTCCAAACCATCCACTGATTGGGGTTTGTCGCTGGTGCACTTCTTACCACATGTATATTCTTACTACTAGTATTATGTTATGTTGATGATGTTTCTTAATATCATGTGTATTGTTACTAACTTCATGTTTCTCCTTTCGATGTGCTCCTTGGCTTTGGCTCCTTCCGCGCACGCGCCTCAGGCCATGATGCGCCGCGCCCCCTCCCTTTCCTCTGCGTGACCCTCCCTCTGCGGCGCACTCGCTCTCAGGGAGTCTGCCGAGCTCATTTGGAAGAGTCCGCACGAGGGCGCAGTCCTTGCCTCCCCCCCTCTCCCTCGCCATGGGGGAAATGGGTCCCGAGGGAAGCGGGTCCTGAGGATTTCTGTTGTTTTCGGGCTCTGAGGCTCTCGGGGCCCTCCACGGGCCAGGAGGAAGAAGCTGAAGAAGAAGGAGGAGAAGACGACTCAGGGTGAAGAAGACGACTCAGGGGGACGGCTCAGGATGAAGGCGAACCAGGATGCAGAGCTCGTTCCCGGGGAAAGCCCAGCGGGTCCAGATTGGGCGCCGCGTAATGGGGGGGGGTCATAAATGGGGGGGTGGCGAGGGTGGTTCGAAAAGGTACCCAAACGGTACCTAAACGAGCCCCCTGGGGCTCTGGAGGGGCCCGAAAGGAACCCGAAAGGGGACCTTTTCTGACCCCCCCATTTGTGACCCCCCCATTAAGCCACGCCCAACCAGGACCCGTTTTTTTTCAGGACCCGTCTCCCCCGCGCCTCACCTCCCGCGCGCCGCCAGGCGGCGGCCAGGCGCCCTGAGGGCGCCGCGCCGCTCGCCCCCATCCGGGCCCCGGACGCCCGACGCCGCGCTCTCTCCGCGGCGCGACGCCCCAGAGGCCCCCAGAGGAGGAGCGTCCCGCGGATCCGGCGCCCCTCCTCCCTCCTCCCTCCTCCCTCCTCCTCCTCCTCCTCCTCCTCCTCCTCCTCCTCCTCCTCCTCCTCCTCCTCCTCCTCCTCCTCCCTCCTTCCTCCTCCCTCCTCCTCCCCCCTCCTCCTCCTCCCTCCTCCTCTCCTCCTCCTCCTCCTCCTCCTCCTCCTCCTCCTCCTCCCTCCTCCTCCAACCCTCCAACCCTCCTTCCCTGCCTCCCTCAACGAGTCCGACCCTTCCACAAAACTTGGAGCGGGCTGTTGCTGGATGCCTTCGGCCGCCGGGGGCCCCCGCCAGGCCAGGCGCTGTCGCCCGGTTTCGGGCCTCGGGGCCCTCACAGAGCTGCCCGGCCTCAGGAGGAGGAGGAGGAGGAGGAGGAGGAGGAGGAGGAGGAGGAGGAGGAGGAGGAGGAGTGGGGCCACCCCTGCTGGCTGGCCGCCTTGTCTGGGTAGTCGAAGGCCAGACTGTCAGATTGGATTGGGCCCCAAGGGCCAATCTGGCCCGGCCAAACAGGATGATTTGGGTTATTCGCCAGACTGGCTTCGCGTTGGCTCCCTCGCCAGACTGCCCCCGTTTGCCAGATTGGGCCTGCCAGATTGGCGCCAGATTGGCTTCGACTACCCAGGATGGGGTCTAGAGTTCCGGGCGTGATTGTTCCCGATGTGGCAGGTGTTTTTGCAATGTCGGATCTCAGGGATCTACCAATAACATTGCGCGTCCTTCGTCGCCACGGTTGGATACGCTTCGCCTCTGGAGAGGTCCGGAAGGCAGCGGTACGGGCCTTTCCGTCGCCTATACACGAATGAGTGACCTTTCGCCGGACCTTTGGCGCGGGCCCAATCGGGCCCCCTGGTTCATTGTGATGCGATGCGATACATGTACAATATATAGTATATAGTCTATAGTACATAGTGTATAGTACATAGTTTATAGTACACACTATATTACATATATATATATGTATACATATATATATATATGTATATACATAATTATATATATGTATGCATATAGATGTATGTGTATACATGTGTATATATGTATTGTAATATATATATATATATATATATATATATATATATTGTAGTGGCCTTCGGCCAGCGCCGCCGATCCGGATCGCTTGGGGTGTCCCCCAGATTGGGCGGCGACGCGTCGCCGACAGACACGCGCGCACACGCTCGAAGACACTACGCGCACACGCGCACACACACAAACACACACAAACACACACATACACACAGTACACACACCACAGACACACACACACCACATTCACACACGCGCGCCACCTTCGCAGGCAAATGCAC